TAAATAGTTGCATAATGTATCTTTAGGGTTCAATCCCTCAAACTGCATCGTTCCTCTGCGCTGCTCGCAATTACACCCAAGGGACTTCATTTCATACCTTTAATTAATAAATCTAACGTTTTGTAGCTTAAAATAGACAAAGCTGCGCGGCTGATGATCATGTCTGATTCAGAGAGGCAAATGAGAAACATTAAAACCTTGTAACGACTGATCCCCCTTTGAGAGCTTGTAATAATGCCATAGTGACACATGATTATAGCAGGCTGCAGAAAGCACTCACTCCTGGATCTCTGTGCCACACCTGCTCAGGGGAAGACCACCATAAATGTGCACCTAGTCTTGGGTCTATGTACTTACCATGGCCCAATGAAATCCCATGACTATTTGATGCAGGGCTTTCAGCGCATAAATTATAAAATCGCTTAGTTGTGACCAGATCATGAAAATTTCAGATGAGACAATATTAAAAGGAGGACACTGTAAGAACAAGGCAGCACGCGGCCTTTCAAGATCATTTATTATTTGACATAGAAAAACGCCACAATTCACATGTTCTTATGACAGTTTCCTCTTGAGCAATGTGCACTTACAAAATGTGTTCTATTGTGTTTAGCACGGCAGTGTGAAAGCAATCGTCCCACTATCAATGTGGCAAGTGGGCCATCAACCCGTAGGCTTCATTATTGCACTTCAACAGGCAAAATGTACTGACTTATTAGTAATTATCGACATGGAAGACTCAACCTAAACCTACAAAATATGTATATATGTATATTTAAATATGTACAAGAACTAAGCAAATCCCTGCAGCAGGAGTATTCTGTCCTCAAAGGGCTGAGTGGCTGCAGGTTTTCATTCCAACTAAGCTGGAGCCTGAAGAATCCACCCATTTCATCATGTCTTCAGGTTTAGAATGGATTCACTTGGGTGGAGTCTGGTGTGCTCCTGCTTGGTTGGAATAAAAACCTGCAGCAGAGTTGAGAACCCCTGTCCTACAGTAACCCAACGGTTCTCTACGATGGCACAATATTCACAACACAAATATTTACAGACACTGAGATATGACACCATCACATGCGTGGAACACGATTCATGAATGAACAAAACACACTTTCTACAGCAGTTGGCAAACATTCCTTTGCAAAAATGGTAAACGTTTGGGTAATTCTTTTAGTTTATGGTCCACATAATAATTTAAGATTAAATTAAGACTTTATTCGTCCCACAGTGGGGAAATGTCACTGTCATTTCTGACTGAGTAATGTGTGTGATCAAAACCTAAGAGATTTACTTTGGGATGATGGTGCAACACAAGTCAGTCAAATGTGAACTATAACCAAATAGTATCTGCTGTTAATAAAGCTAATCACTGATTAAAAAGGTTTTGGGATAAGATATTTTAGTTAAACTTTAAAGGTGATTAAGCAATTTAAATAGTATTTCATTTTTAAAATAAAGAATGTTTCTGATCATGGAACACTGTTTCATCTTGTGACGAGTGCCTTCTTGTCACAAGATGAAAAGTCACAGACATCCACTGTAATAAATACAAGCATATCTTAAATAAGCTATTGTTTGTAATGATCAAATACACAGTACAATACTGTAAAAGGGCAAATTAATGGGAAAAAAGCCTTTAAGACGTTTTACATTCAGCTTCTACTCAGTACTTACTCAGATTGAGTAACTGACATGGTCCTAACCTAACAGACGGCATGTGATCAATGCCGTCAATTGCGTCAATTGTTCTGCATCTAATAGCCAAAACGGTTGTGATTGTATAACTAAATACACATCTATCCTGCTTTAAAAGCGCTCATAACGTGTTAATAGAACCTACAGTTTACATACGATGTGCCTCCAGCAGCGGACTTTAGAGTCCGACTTCACACTTCTAACCTGTGTTAAGAATTCTGTTTAATTCTGCTACCGCCTGGATTTCCGTCCCATATGGCAGATTTGCTGAAATTTTGACGGATTCTAAAAAAATATCATAGACTGTATAAAGAAGGACAGCACACACCCCCTTAGCACAATGAAGCCCAATAGAGAAGTGCTCATGGACAAAGTTTTGCTCCAACCCACTCTGGCGTCACCTGACTCACATGTGAAAAGTAAACTCACCATTTTGGGTTGTGAAAATCTGTGGTTTAGTGCTCTCAAAAAAAGATTTTCCAATTGGGTTGCTTCTTTCGCCAGGGAAACTCCAGTTTGCCATAGCACCATCTTAGCAACAAGGCTAACACAATAGTGACGCCCGCACTCTATCCACTCCTTTCATATATAAAGTCTATGGTAATTATTAAGAATAAAGAACGACAAAGCAAAAATCAACACGTATCTACATGGCTGTTTCTCTATCCCCAATCTGGCAACACACACTTCGGACATTTCACGAGTGCGGTCAACCCAGTAAGTAAATTATTGCGAGGGGGCCGCACAGTTGTAGTCATTATTGTTGTTTAGGAAATTGCTTACTTGGGGTTGTCAAAAACGCCAGTGCTTGTAGCGCAGCGGCAGATCAGGGCCTTGTCTGAGCCGCCAAAACAGACACACAAAAAGAAGATGAAGGGAACAGGAGCGCGGTAGAGGAGTGGACAGGGCGTGAAGATGGCTCATTACGCATATCGTGTGAATCCCAGTGTGAGACGCCCAGTGAGGGAGGCGGCGTTTTCCACAACCACAGACTCTACATCTGCTTGTCTTCTTTCCGGAGATGAAAGTTTGCAGGACGGTTCCAAAATATGGCCTTTCCAAATAGCAAATACTGTCTGTAGTGCGCAGGGAAAGCTGAGTGTCTGCTCAGAGTGCCGCCTTTATGTAACTGGGACCGGCTTAAGCGGAAGAAAGTGGATGGATGCATAAGTTTTGAAGGGTGGAGAGAGAAAGAGAACATGCAAATTCATATGTTAAGAGCCTTGTAAGTCACTATTTGATGTTCTAGGCTGAGAGGTTATTGGCTGAGTGAAAAATACAGGACCACTTTTCTCTTTTTTACGTTTCTGACTTAAAAAAGCATTTCTGAATACGTCACAGATGGCAAAAAATCTAACTAAACTGTTTTGAGAGCTAGGAGGTTGTTATAGACCTTTTTAAGCATATAGTAGTTTGAAAATTAGATACCGCAGCTTTTATTATGATAAATATACCCCAGACAAAGCCTTTCTAAGTGGAGTTTGCATATTCTCCTCGTCCTCGCATGTGTTGTGGTTTCCCGCTCCTCCAAAACATGTTGCTCGGGTTCAACAGCTTCACAGTAACCGTCTTCACAATTTTAATAACTAGCATGTCTAATGACCATATATGGACAAAAGCATTCCAGTACCACACGTTTCCATGGTGATGTTAGCTTTTGTCCAGAATTTTACCTTTTCTGTGGAATGTTCCTAACTTCCACCAACGTCACTTGTCTTGAGGTTGGCATATGGATTCATGGAAAACTTCCCAGAATAATAAACGCATCTCTCAGGAGTGAAGACACATAGAGCGACTTTAAAACCATTGGAAAGACTTTGTCTCTTAAAAGCTACAAAAACAAGAGACAACATAGAATATAATCATGATGTTTTAACCAATAATTTCTATCCAGTCAGTTATTTTCTGTGAACATTGAAACTTTAGCATCTAGCATCTTTGTCGTTGCCGGAATATTGTTCAAAAGTCTATTTACTTCTGCAATTCAACGTACAATGTGAGACTATACACGACTCATAACACACAACGTCAGCTACTATCCATCCAGCCATTTTCTTCCACTTTATCCGTTGCTGGGTTGTGGGTGCAGCTGTCTAAAGCACAGACTCCCAGATATTCCTACTCCACCAGCTCATCCAGAGGAATCCGGAGGCGTTCCCAGACCAGCTGAGAGACATAGACCCTTCTCTTCCCGGTGGGACGTGCCCAGAACACCTTCAGGAGGCTTCCAAATAGTCTCCTCTCGATGTGGAGAAGCAACGGCTCTACTGAGATCAAGAGTCAGGCTTCTACTCTGACAATGAATTCAAATCCAGGTTAAAGACAGATACTTTTAGCTGCGAACAACTGATTTTATCTTCCCCTTTCAATATATACTGTGATGAATTATGATTTGAATGCCTTGTGTGACTGTCTCCATCTGTTTTTGTTCAGCAATTGGGTATGAATTGTGCTTTACAAACACATTTGCCTTGCCTTGGCACATTGGAATTGGAATATTTTGCGTTTAAATATGATTTCTGAATATTGTAAAGCGCTTTGGGTGAATTCGGTCTGTTAAAATGCGCTACATAATAATAAGATTACGCACTAATGTAATCCAACTTACTTAAATTTCTTGCTTGTAATGAGTCTGTACAAGAGTTTCGCTTTTCAGCCCGAGCCCGAGCAGGCCTGAGCCCGGCACGAACTCGGGCATTTCAGCGCTCAGCTGTCATTATTTTTTTATGATTTTTATACATAATTATATGCATATATATATATATTTATTAATAATATGGTCAGTTGATTGACAACAAGTTATTAAAAAAGTAAAAATATTAATAACACCGTATCCGGCGTGTCCTACGGCCGCAGCAAGCCGTGAATGCATCATCCCTGTTTTTCCTTTTGAATGCTACGGTCAACAGCGAACACACAGAACATTAACAGACATGGATCGAGTGGACGTACAAAACACATTCAGAAGTTGAGAGCTAAACTTGCAATTGGAAGGTGAGTGCGTGCAACAAGGGAGATCAGATGTGTCGGGTTCTGTCGGGCTCGGGCCTATTATACAGCGTTAATTGGTCGAGCTTATATGGGCTTAGTATTAGCGGGCTCGGGCCGGGTCGGGCTTGATTTTTCAGGCCCGAACGAAACTCTAGTCTGTACCATATGTCGGTTTCACATTAGAACTCGAACGACGGAAATAGAACTTTTGAACAACGTTGCCTTATTACTAAAACGCCAAACCAACCATTTTTGTTTTCTATCTATATCTCTAACCTTACATACTGTATAATCCATTGAGGTGGGATTGAGCGTTAAATGTTGGGGGCCACATATTCTGCGTTGACGAAGGAGAAGCCTAGAAACTCGTCCTGGTCCAGGTTCATGATGACCAGCTTGTCCGTGGGGGTCAGGTCCACGGCCATCTTGGTGAACTCCTTGTCGAAGTTGCACGTGTCCTTCCGGGTTTTCTGCAGAGGAGGTAATAAACGGTTAAAGATTAGCACCGTGAGGCTGTGAGGATATTAGTATGGAAAGCATGACTGTGGGGTTGCGTAATCCAAAGTGGAGGACGCAACATGAAAAAGAATCAACAATGTGAGTTTAAAAATGGATGAGGCAAAAAAAGGTAATGGAGGAAAATGGAAAAATAATGCCTATTTGAGAATTACAGCTGATCCTTAGGTTACAGGTTTGGACACAAATTAATAAGGTGATGCTTGTAAGTGCTAGTAAGATAATGCAATATTACTTTCCGATGCATTTCAGATTGATTCATATTTCTTTCATTTATTCAATCCATTCATTCATCATTTATGAGTCAATTTATGGGTCGGGGGGGTGGCAATGAGAGTTGCCACCCAATGCTCAAAGCACCGGTCCCTCGCTGATCCTCTGCAGGGGGTGAGTCCACAGGAAGATGGCTGCTACATCAGTGGTGCCACAACCTTGGTGTTTCAGTGGGGGCTTCAGGCAATGTGGGCTTAAGTGTCTTGCCCAAGGACACAACGACAGCAGACATCAGTGGGAGCAGTTGGAGTAGGTCCTGTGATGGGCTCGAACCCACGACCTTCCAGCTCAAAGGCCAATGCTCCACCAACTGAGCTACTGTCGCCCCATTGACAGATTCATGGATCTAAAGTCTGGAATAGTCTTCCTGAAAACGTAAGACAGGCTTCTGTTCTAACACTGATCAAATCCAGGTGAAAAACATTTCTGTTTAGCTGCATACAACTGAAGTATTTTATATTCACTCTTTAAATTTAAATGTGTGATTATTTATGATTTGAATCCCTTGTGTGACTTTTTCCATCTTTTTTTGTTCAGCACTTTGAGTTGCCTTGTGTATAAATTGTGCTATACAAATAATCTTGCCTTGCCTGGCCATTGTGTGACCTACTGTATGTAAACTCCTCCAACTGAACCTGGATTTAAAGATTTTGAAAGACTTTATAACTCTAGTTAGTACAAGGGGCCCTGACCGTAGTGTAGTTCACCTTTAGCGGTTGATAATTGTGTGAATTCGGCAGGGCTTTTGACAGCTGCAGCAGCACTCAAACCTACGAACAAGTTTGACATCTACACAATCGCACTTCAGCAGTCGAGGGTTCAGGTGGTTAGAAAAGTATGTAAAGTGTGTGATGAGGGGTTTCACAGCCTTAAAACATACAGCTGCCACTTTGCAGATTTTTGCTTTTTGTGGGTTATTTTTAGAACGTAACCTCTGCGCAGCGCTCTCGTCTTCTCTATTTTCTGGAAACACGCTTTTGAAAACGTCCAACCAGGATAAATTTTTTCTGTAATCATTATTATTTGAAAATTCAAAAAAATGCTTAGTTCACAAAACATCTAGCCATGAGTGCAAAAGGTGCTTGAATGGCTGCATTTTAAGCACATTAGTATTAGTACTTTGAAGCAACTGTGGTTAAAGCTGAATTCATCATTATAAACACATGCAGGAGCTGTTTCCTTTTCCACCCTGGATGTTTTGTTTGTCTCAAGGCCGAAGCTACTGACACCGTGGCAGCTGCTGATTGGACTGTCTATGATTCCTCCTGTATAGTGTCACCTGCATTCTGTGAAACTGTGTTCGGGTTTCGTTTCTACAATGGACAATACAACATCACAACATGACCCCTGACCCCTGTGTCCTTTTCTGCAAAATTTAGGCTTAAAATGCACCATGGCAGCAACAAATTCATGCAGGAGAAATACTTGAATGTATTGAGAGAGTATATCAAAAGTAAAGTCAATAAAACATAAACATATATTGTATTTTGAAATGGCGAGGTGGACAAAGTAGCAATAATCATTCTTTTCTTATCTCCTTTTTCACGCACATAACTGGGAAAATAGGCTATTTTATCACTTCTACATGGAAAGTATTGCAAAAAGCCTGGAAAGTAATGGATACTTTTTTTGCTGCCTCTTATCCAAGACTCCCTTCAAAAAAAAAAAAATAGCTCTTTAATCTCAATGGGATTTTCCTGGTTAAATAAAAAATAAATCTTTCGCCTTCTCTCGCTTCTTCAGTACTTTTTTTCTTTTTTTTCTCGAGCCCAAAGAGACAAATGGCGTGCGCATTTAGCCATGTCGGGATTCTCATGAACACATAGCTGGAAGAAAACAGCGCGCACATACTGTACCACGGAGAAGGACGGGGGCATGTGTCGGAGCTATGGGCCTGAGAGCGCGTGCATGGGGGAGGGGGAGCTCAAAGTGCAGCCGCTGCCTTTTCTCCAGGACATAAAGAGCGCACACTTATTGTCATGTACAGGATGTAGCGAAGGAGATCAGATACTAAAGGCTAGTGGTATTCCAGAGCCGTTTGCCATATGCAGCCTCTAGGATGTTCCAAGATGGGGGGGAGAGAGGTTTTCGAGGCAAAGGGAGCTGGTTTGGGGCAGATATTAATGTCCCGGGTCTGTTTTTTTTAAAGAGACGAACGGTTATGAGGCTGCTTGAAGACATAGATTTAGTGCAGGGGTGTAAAAGTAATAGGGGCAATATAAAAAGGACTCTCAACTGTAAGAATATCAACACGATTGTAACTTATAGAAAGCATTTTTGGTTCAAGTTGAGTGTGGCCTCTTGGTGTGTTCCCATGCATACGGAAGCAATCTCACACAGCTTTCTCGTTGTTCAGAAACGTGGACTTCAGAGTAACACTTCCATTTAGTTTTAGCTATATGCATTGTGATAATTTATTTTAAAAAAAAACCTAAAATCTATGTGTATATCTGGTAAAAATAAGTGTTTAAGAAGTATGAGGAGGAAACAGAGATGCCTGCAGAAAATAGCAAGTAGTGGGAGAGTGCGTGTGTGTGTGTGTGTGTGTGTGTGTGTGTGTGTGTGGTATTAAACTATGATCTTCTGCCTATACCCCTAATTTCATATATGACCCCCCTACAAATTGTTGGAAAAACAAGGAGCAGTGTTTTGACTAAGTACTAAAAACCTTTAACTGTCACTAAACACAGCAATGTTTCATGTGTTTGTGAGTTTCAAAGTTGGAATTTCAAGTTTGAAGTTTCACAAATCAGGAATTAGATTATTATTACCTTAGAACAGGGATGTCAAGTCAAATATATCAGAGGCCGGACAAGCCGAGGGCCGGACTGGTTCAATGTTTATAAAATCATATTTAATGATTGCATATAACCTATTGAACCGAGACCTAACACAGTGTGCCGTATTTTATTGAATCATTTAATGAATAATCCAATATTTTTGTATGGCTGTCAGTCATTTCAAGTAAAAATGTTTTTTGACAAGTTCACAGACAAAAACAAACTTCCTTCAAAGAGAAAACACATTTCCTGAACATTGAATTAAAAATACAATAGTTTCTTATGGCTCTGTGCGGCCGGTTCTAATACTAACCAAATATCATCCCAGAGGCCAAGATCATTCACTCGCTGGCTGGATCAGGCCTCGACTTTGACACCCATGCACCAGAACTACAATACAACTCTCACAACATAGGTGCTGGACTATAAACCACTTCAGTCTATGAATGAATGAATGAATAGAGCGCCCCCTTCAGCCTGGGGTGCAGGAAGGAAATGGACAAAGTGCGTTAAACACCTCGTCATGAAACCATCCAGTGAAAACAGTCATCTTTCAGCTGTTGGTTAAGAGGTACGTTACAACACGAACCTGCGGCTTATATTTAAAGTACAGCGGCACGGTGGCTGAGTGGTTAGCACTCTCGCTTCTCAGCAAGAAGGTTCAGGGTTCGAATGGAGTTTGCTTATTCTCCCCATGTCTGCGTAGGTTTCCTCCGGGTACTCCGGTTTCCCTACCACTAAAAACATTTTCAATAGTTCAGGGTGAATGAATGTGTGTTTGTGAGTGCGAATGTGGGACAACGGACGCAAATTTGCTCATGGCTACAATCCGGAGTGATGTGTTCATTAACATGTACTGTCCCAACCAAATAAACAATAAATAAATAAATAATAGCTCTATTTACAGCTGTGGATCTTCAGAGCTCACGACATAACACACATGTTTGTGTGAACAGCAGAGAGCAGACACAAGGAAGTGTTGGGGAAATGCACAGGACTTGGTTTAATCATACGATTCCACCCCCAGGCCTTTCTGTGTGGAGTTTGCATGTTCTCCCCGTGTCTGCATAGGTTTCCTCCGGAGGCTACAGTTTCCCCTACCACTAAAAGCATGTGCAATAGGTCTGGCATGCGCCTCCTGTAAGACGACCTCACTCTATCTCTGTGTGGAGTGAGAGACAATGCCCACGACAGTTGTAAAGCGCTTTGGGACTCTGCTCTGCTCTTTATAAACAAAGATGACTTACTCACTAGATCTGGGCTGTTGTCAGTATGGAGTTTATGGACTTTTTATTATGACTCCATCCAATTTTAGTCAAAATTTTATTGTCAAAATACGATTCTGACTTTCAAAATAAAGTGTTATCCTGCTGTGTTTGTGCAAATGTGAGAAAGGGACTAATCAGGCAAACCAGACCTCAAAGGGCAGGTGTGGCTGCAGGTTTTAATTACAACCTGAGCATTTCCTCAAACCTTCAGGTTAAAACTGGACCCACCTGAGGAAATGGGTCTGCTCTGCTCCTGTTTGCCCACCCTTGGACAAATGCACAATCTCCTTCGAAATCAATATAGATTTAGTGCTGAGTCAGTGCCTTAAACACCTCGTCAAGAAATCATCCAGTTAAAACAATCGTCTTTCGGCTTCTTTTTCTCTGTCAGCTGTTGGTTAAGCGTTACGTTACAACATGAAAACCTGCAGCTTATCATTTAATTAAGTAGCAATATTTAAGATTTTCATGACAAGTCATAATTAAAGGGCCCTAATATGTCAAAAGGCATTTATAAATCATGCTCTTTTCAAATACTTCTTTAACAGTAGTTCAGCCGGGATCTTTAGATTTCAAAATTAGTTTTACAGCCCCTAAATCTTGTTATTGTTTTCATTTCAATGTCCCGCCCTCCACCGTTTTGCCAGAACTCACTGCTCCGAGCCAATCTCACTGGTAAAGTAACATGTGGCCGCAGAACTAAAAAAAGGTCTCGTTAATGATTTGAGAATCATTAACGACAAAAGGAGTAAAACGGATTAAAAAGGAAAAGGATTTCTATCGGGGCATTTGAGAAAAAGGTGTTGGTTTTAGATTTGTTGTTGACAAAACTCTATTCAGATACTATGGTCCCTGCTGGATTCTTCTGCATATCTGGCAACCTGAGCCAGGGAGAGTGGGAGAGGTTCTAGTAACACTTTTGGCCAGATTTTTTACATACTGCTCCTTTAAGAGTTGCCTATATGTGGGACAAAATAACTTTTACTTTTAATATTCAACTGGTGCGGTTTATAAACAGGTGCTTAATAGTTCGGCAAATGCATAATTGAAATATGAATATAACAAATAAAAACTCGTAGCAGTAAAAAGACATACATTTAGAACATACAGCCAAGTATAGGCAACAAGTCCGTATCGGAGTCCCATAAATATGCAATGGCGTTACATAATCTAATAATAGTAGCAAACGTGCCAGTCCCATTCAGTATTACTACGCTAAAGCACTTACACGATTTATACTAGAGTATTTTTGCCTTAGTGTGGCTGTCGATCATGAAGCAAATCACATATAAATATAGGCCTACATAATTCACGCATGTAGCAGCGATGTTGACATTAGCTAATGTGAATATTTAATTACTATTTGCTGTTTAAAATATCATGTTAAATAGTTCAGTAGAGACATAACACCTGTACTTTGGACTGCTTACAGAAGCATGGAGCAGATAAGGTGTTGATGTACATAACATGAGATAATGCTATCTCATGTACATTGGAGTTTGGTCCGTTACGCAACTTTGAAACCATACGCTTGCTTCTCACATAGTCATGCTTCCCAAAATCTATGCTTACCTAAACATTTTCTGGTGTATATAAGGAGCTACCCTGTGATTGTACGACAGACTTCTGCTAGAGCCAGACGGGAAGCTGCGTTGTACTTGATCAGAATACGCTCAAACCTTCTGACAATAAAACTTTTGAACTACGCAGTCGAAGTCTCTTTTGTCTTGTGTCTGGGAAATTCACACTAACTTGGCGTAAACACACTTGGAGAAAGGCCTGCATGAATATTCACCGCACAAGGAGCTTTCACATGTAAAACCGCACTGGCGTTATTAATACTGCATGAGGAAAGGACAGCGATGAAAGCCAACCACTGACCACTACAAATATGAAGGAGAGTGTGCTGAAAATCCTGTTCAAATGATACAATGGTGCTGGTCCAGAGAAAAGTGGGCAAAAAGGATTGAGAGCAGAGTCCGGTGCATGGTCCTACCTTTAGCTGCCAGCTGTCCCCCGGGCAGCTGTCCCCCGGGCAGCGACAGGAGCTGGACACCTCTGGAGCTGAGCCACACACACACATGCAGCCGCTACAGGCACTTCTCACCGCATTCAAAGAGAATTAGGGGTAGAATGTCTGTATGCATGATGGGGATGGTTTAAAAAATGTTTTGTGTCATTTTGTTCAAATCGAGCTGGTCACTAGAACAGTATGCAGAGCAGTCAATTGTTTTACACTTTTACACATTAAAAAGGTGGCAGAAGTGAGGGGAGACTGTTGCATTTTGCCTGGGTATAAAACCATGTGGGCGCTTTGGATAACTGAGCTCTGCATTTTTTTTTCATCATCTTCAGTGACTACACAAATATGTTTAAATCAGTCTGAGTGAACAAGAGGACAGAAAATCTTCCTGTCAACGAAATGTCATGTATTTCTCCTCTATTGCATCATTTTTCCCAATTGATTACAGCCCTGGATCTGGAACAGCATCGGTTAATGTCAGAGTGACAAAGTAATCCCTTATTCATTCTGGAATGCTTTGTCAAAATCTTTTCAGAAAGTTTTTTTTTTTTTATTACGGCATTTGGACTCAACACCCTAAAACCTCAAAACTGCAACCATTTCCCTGATAAACTATACCAATAAAATAATTGTGCTCACTAGTCTGTCAGTCTCTGAAGTACAGAGCTGCTGAACTGCTGGACTCGAGTGGCACAAGACACTTTACCACAAAACCATCTTCTCAATGGAGATGTGATCTTTCATTCGGAATCAACCTTATAATGCAAAAAATAAAAAACATTTGGAGAACATGCATACCTGCAGTATGAGACAATCTCTTATTATTTTTTTACTGGCAACATTTCATGTTTATAAAAAGCCAAATCTGAGGGCTCTTATTTCTCTTTCGATTCTGCTGTAATGTGCGTTACTATGGCATTGAAATTTCCCCACCAGGGATGAAAGACTGATCTTCCGTCCGTCCGTTTTCTTCCGCTTCATCCGTTGCCGGGTCGCGGGGGCAGCAGTCTAAGCAGAGACGCCCAGACTTCCCTATCCACACACACTTCCTCCAGCTCGTCCGGGGGGACCCCAAGGCGTTCCCAGGCCAGCTGAGAGACATAGTCCCTCCAGCGTGTCCTGGGCCTTCCCCGGGGCCTCCTCCCGGTGGGACGTGCCCGGAACACAGGGAGGCGTCCAGGAGGCATCCGGAACAGATGTCCGAGCCACCTCAACTGGTTCCTCTCGACGTGGAGTAGCAGCGGCTCTACTCCGAGCTCCTCACCCTATCTCTAAGGTTGCGCCCAGCCACTCTGCGGAGGAAGCTTATTTCGACCGCTTGTATCCGCGATCTCGTTCTTTCGGTCAATACCCAAAGCTCATGACCATAGGTGAGGGAGGGAACGAAGATTGACCGGTAAATCCAGAGCTTCAACTTTCGGCTCAGCTCCCTCTTTACCACAATGGTCCGATACAGCGACCGCATCACTGCGCACGCTGCACCGATCCGCCTGTCAATCTCACGCTCCATTCTTCCCTCACTCGTGAACAAGACCCCGAGATACTTGAACTCCTCCACTTGAGGAAGGACCTCTCCACCCACCTGCAGAGGGCAAGGCACCTTTTTCCGGTCGAGCACCATGGCCTCGGATTTGGAGGTGCTGATTCTCATCCCAGCCGCTTCACACTCGGCTGCAAACCGTCCCAGCCGAAAGGCTGATCTTATCATATCTTAGTCTTCCACAAGGAAATTCAGCTGTATATCAATAAGTAACCTGCAAACAATAATTTGTTCATCTTGTTATTCATTATTAAAGTCAGAGTCTGACTAATGGCAGTTTCTCCAAACGCTATTTAGTTTTTTTCTGATTTTTAGTTACTCCTTGACGTTATATTGTGTAATTATAAATGTCAAGGAGTATTTATTGTGTTTGAATCCATTTTCTTCAAAACAGGTGTAAAATGCCATATGACAGAGTGATCTCCAGAGACGCAGGTGACTGCCGTTCTTAAGTTACATAAAACTCCCTTCTGAAACAACGTAAACACAACACAGTTAATAGCTGTCAGAGCCCATATCAAACATCACCTATGGGCAGCAGGTGCGTTTAAGACCAGCCCACGAGTGGTGCGGTGTTGACTCATGTGGTTTTGTGTTGTGATTGAAAACACGCATACACACAAACACACATGTAGTGGGCAGAGCACATGCACACAGCTGCCAGCCATGTAGGCCAGCTCATAATGTGTTCATCTGCACACGCTTCATCTGCTGCTAATGCTGGCAGGCAGAGAGACCGGGATCCGCAGAGCAGAGATGGCCAACGCAGCAGAGGACAGGCCCAGATATATATCACAGGCCCTGGGTGGAGATGCAGCGATAGGCACGCCACAAACACACATTATCCCCGCCATTAGTGTCCTCTGCCACGGACTGTTTTAATGGAGAAACATGAGTCCGATTCTTTAAATTAGTCTTTGCTCGAGCAGCTGCCTCCCTGCTCTTTTCAGTAACAGGAGGATTAGTGGAGACGAGTCCCTGTCATAGGGGAGAGGGAGGGAGGGAGGGAGAGTGAGTGAGAGTGATGGAGCAGGGTGGGAGGTGAGGAGCCCAAGAGGGTGAATGAAAGGCGCTATCGAGCACTGACCTGTTTTGGGCCGATAAGCACAGGCTGCTTTGTGCCGGAGCCACTGGCTTTAATTTGGGGGCCGCAACATTTGGAATTAATTATGACACACACTCCACACTGGTGCCGCAGCGTACGTGTACGGCGGCTAGTACATCCACTCCAATGCAAACTTTAACAGTCACTCCCGATGTCACATTTACAGAAAATACAGTGGCAAAGGTGCAGGCATGTTTTCATTCTCCCTCAGAGGAGCATTCAGATCTTATTGAGTCAAAGCAACTTTACACTTTACTCACTCACATGTATTTAGTGATTCATGCATGTTTGACTCATCGTTATGTGCATTCAAGCTGCCAGAGCTCCAGCCATCCCCCTACCACCACTTCTTAGCACTTAGCCTCATGATGCTAACATGTACAGTAGTGTCACATGATGCTAACATGTACAGTAGTGTCACATGATGCTAACATGTACAGTAGTGTCACATGATGCTAACATGTACAGTAGTGTCACATGATGCTAACATGTACAGTAGTGTCACATGATGCTAACGTGTACAGTAGTGTCACATGATGCTAACGTGTACAGTAGTGTCACATGATGCTAACATGTACAGTAGTGTCACATGATGCTAACGTGTACAGTAGTGTCACATGATGCTAACATGTACAGTAGTGTCACATGATGCTAACATGTACAGTAGTGTCACATGATGCTAACATGTACAGTCGTATCATCACTGAATATTTGAACTCACAGAAGTAATGACTTACTAAGATAAGATAAACTATTGATCTCAGAGGAGACATTTACAAATGGTGCCCCATGTAGGGGACGTATCAGATATTAAACTGATAACAGATCCTACACTTGATCTTAGCCAAAAGGCCGAGAAGCGATACTACTTCAATATTCTTGCACTAGTCTAATACAGATTTAACTATGGACGTATACTGTACATACTGTGTTTACACAAGTATTACTTGAGTACTACTGTACTCCTCATTTCTACTGTTCTGTAACTTGTGAGGCAACAATAAAGGATCTCTCAGTCTGCTGCTACAGTAAAATGCTGTAGTTTCTTATATTATCTGTAAGACAGAAGGCTGCCCAGTCTTCAGTCAAAATGTATATTCACATTTATCAAATTATGTCAAACACACAATAAGTCTCATTTAAAGGGTCAGTAACTTGAAGGTTTAATAAAATAATTACAATCCAACTGTTGTGAGAATCTTCTGCCTGTCACACATGTGGCTCCTCAGCACTGATGTAGACCTCCTCCTGGGGTTTAGCAAGAAACAAACGGTTTTTCAAGTTTTATTTGAATGTGCCTGGTGCTATGTTTTTGTCTGTCAATTGGATATATAAATAACAAATACTCAAAACCAGCACACTGGCGGCCCAAATGAGAACCTCTTTCTGATTGGATAATCTGCTTGAAAACTATAAACATAAATATTGCGGTGATCGTGTCCATTGTACTTCTAATTTCACTGTACACTGATGTTTAGAAAAGGTCAAATGTGCGTTGTACATGTGACCTGTAATCTGGAGACTTAAACAAAAAATATAGATGTAATTTAAAGTGAAAATGTACTGTCCCTTTAATGAATGAGAAAGATTAAACTAGATTCAAATTGGAAGTAAATACAGAATGCAGTAATTTCAGTCATATTGATAGTTCTGCACTTGAGTGGGTTTCATTTTTCGGTCCACTTGCAATACTTGAACCACAATGACGTGTCTTCACATTTGTTCCCAAACGTATTGACAAAACATGCAGGTTTATCCACGGAGATTGAGAACTGTGCCTTTATCCTTTATCCCAGATACGATCAGCTCCATAGTTAACAGAGAACAACACAGATGTTATCGCCGCATTTGACAAAAAGCAGATTTCCCTCAGCTTTGAAGCGTTCCTTGGGGATGGCTCGCTGCTAACAACATAAAACAAGTTAAATGGAAAAATTTCACAGGGTTTTGGAGTGTGCAATGACAGTGACGATGCATAAAGCTTTTTTATGTAGCTGCGTCGATCCAGGTCGGCAAAAACACAGCTCTCTCCTGTAGTGTGGAGCAGGTCATGTTTTGGAGTTGGAGGGTTTTAGAGTCGATAAAGATTTTAACCAGAAGTTTAACTGGTCTATGGCTGATGCTCATTCGACTTCTCACAGCTTCTGACCATGATATATTTTTTCTCGTCTTTTACTCAACGTTTTAGTGCAATTCATTCTTCATTCATTTCAAGCCCTTTATTGTCCGTTTCTGGGTCAGGGGGGTGGCAATGAGAGCTGCCACCCAACGCTCATAGCACCAGTCCCTCACTGATCCTCTGCAGGGGGTGAGTCCACAGGAAGATGGCTGCTCTGTCAGCGGTGAAACAGCCTTGGTCTTTCAGCGGGGGGCTTCAGGCATCCATCCATCCATCCATTTTCTTCCCCTTAATCCATTTCTGGGTCGGGGGGGTGGCAGTCAGAGCTGCACCCAGTACACTTAGCACCAGCCCCTCACTGATCCTCCTGCAGGTGGTGAGTCCACAGGAGCTGAGATCTTTCAGTGGGAGCTTCAGGCAAAGTGGGGTTAAGTGTCTTGCCCAAGGACACAACGACAGCAGTCATCAGTGGGAGCCGTGAAGTAGGTCTTATGGTGGGCTTGAACCCACGACCTTCAGGCCCAAAGGCCAATGCTCTACCAACTGAGCTACTGTCGCCCGGGCTTCAGGCAACGTGGGGTTAAGTGTCTTGCCCAAGGACACAACGACAGCAGACATCAGTGGGAGCAGTTGGAGTAGGTCCCATGGTGGGAATTGAACTCACGACCTCCAGGCTCAAAGGCCAATGCTCTACCAACTGAGCTACTGTCGCAATTCATTCTTGTGTGAGTTATTTAGGCTATATCCACACGAAGACAAAACGCTTATAATTTCAGAAACTTTTTCTGTAAATACGGAGTTAGCTCAATAAATGTGTGCGTCCATATGAATGTAGTCAATACGCCTGAAAACGCTGTGAAACTATGCCAGACCTGTTGGTGGCGCTGTGACGCAATGACGGGATCAAGCCCAAACTTCCGTGACGGGAACTGGGCATGCGCAGAATTTTGTAAACAGACAACATGGCGAGTGGGCGAGCTGGTACTACATTAGTATGGACGGACGATGAGGTTGAACTGTTGCTTCGGGTCACACTGGATTACAAAACCAACAAGCTACATTGTTGTTGTCATTATTTTGTGAGTGCGGCGCATGCGTGCTTTAACAAGAGGCGGGGCGATGACGCAAGCGTCTCAGATACATTGCGGAGAGGCAGTAACCACGGAGCGGCATATACAGAGTTTTGAAATCTTTCCACTCTGGGACCTACTTTCAAAAATGTTCGTTTACACCCCCCCCAAAACGCCGGCCTGGATTGATAAAGTATTTTTGCGTTTAGGCCTGAGCTTGACTTCGTGTGGACAGGGCCTTAGGCTGTATTCTAATCATGGATGTATTCTATAGCGTGGACAGGGTGTGTATTCTATAGCGTGGATAGGGTGTGTATTCTATAGCGTGGATAAGGTGTGTATTCTATAGCGTGGATAGGGTGTGTATTCTATAGCGTGGATAGGGTGTGTATTCTATAGCGTGGATAGGGTGTGTATTCTATAGCGTGGACAGGGTGTGTATTCTATAGCGTGGACAGGGTGTGTATTCTATAGCGTGGATAGGGTGTGTATTCTATAGCGTGGATAAGGTGTGTATTCTATAGCGTGGATAGGGTGTGTATTCTATAGCGTGGATAGGGTGTGTATTCTATAGCGTGGACAGGGTGTGTATTCTATAGCGTGGATAGGGTGTGTATTCTATAGCGTGGATAAGGTGTGTATTCTATAGCGTGGATAGGGTGTGTATTCTATAGCGTGGATAGGGTGTGTATTCTATAGCGTGGATAAGGTGTGTATTCTATAGCGTGGATAGGGTGTGTATTCTATAGCGTGGATAGGGTGTGTATTCTATAGCGTGGACAGGGTGTGTATTCTATAGCGTGGACAGGGTGTGTATTCTATAGCGTGGACAGGGTGTGTATTCTATAGCGTGGATAGGGTGTGTATTCTATAGCGTGGATAGGGTGTGTATTCTATAGCGTGGATAGGGTGTGTATTCTATAGCGTGGATAGGGTGTGTATTCTATAGCGTGGACAGGGTGTGTATTCTATAGCGTGGATAGGGTGTGTATTCTATAGCGTGGATAGGGTGTGTATTCTATAGCGTGGATAGGGTTTGTATTCTATAGCGTGGACAGGGTGTGTATTCTATAGCGTGGATAAGGTGTGTATTCTATAGCGTGGATAGGGTGTGTATTCTATAGCGTGGATAGGGTGTGTATTCTATAGCGTGGATAGGGTGTGTATTCTATAGCGTGGACAGGGTTTGTATTCTATAGCGTGGACAGGGTGTGTATTCTATAGCGTGGATAGGGTGTGTATTCTATAGCGTGGATAGGGTGTGTATTCTATAGCGTGGATAGGGTGTGTATTCTATAGCGTGGATAAGGTGTGTATTCTATAGCGTGGATAGGGTGTGTATTCTATAGCGTGGACAGGGTGTGTATTCTATAGCGTGGATAGGGTGTGTATTCTATAGCGTGGACAGGGTGTGTATTCTATAGCGTGGATAGGGTGTGTATTCTATAGCGTGGATAGGGTGTGTATTCTATAGCGTGGATAGGGTTTGTATTCTATAGCGTGGACAGGGTGTGTATTCTATAGCGTGGACAGGGTGTGTATTCTATAGCGTGGATAAGGTGTGTATTCTATAGCGTGGATAGGGTGTGTATTCTATAGCGTGGATAGGGTGTGTATTCTATAGCGTGGATAGGGTGTGTATTCTATAGCGTGGACAGGGTTTGTATTCTATAGCGTGGACAGGGTGTGTATTCTATAGCGTGGATAGGGTGTGTATTCTATAGCGTGGATAGGGTGTGTATTCTATAGCGTGGATAGGGTGTGTATTCTATAGCGTGGATAAGGTGTGTATTCTATAGCGTGGATAGGGTGTGTATTCTATAGCGTGGACAGGGTGTGTATTCTATAGCATGGATAGGGTGTGTATTCTATAGCGTGGATAGGGTGTGTATTCTATAGCGTGGATAGGGTGTGTATTCTATAGCGTGGACAGGGTGTGTATTCTATAGCGTGGATAGGGTGTGTATTCTATAGCGTGGATAGGGTGTGTATTCTATAGCGTGGATAGGGTGTGTATTCTATAGCGTGGATAGGGTGTGCATTCTATAGCGTGGATAGGGTGTGTATTCTATAGCGTAGATAGGGTGTGTATTCTATAGCGTGGATAGGGTGTTGCTGCTTAAACCTGTCTCCACATGGACACGGGGCGACCACAGCACTGCAGCGTATACGTTCACATGAGCTGTAATATCTCCCACAGTGCTCCATGTTATCCAAAGCTGCTCGTACCCAGCTGACAGAGAACCTACAGCTGTCAAAGATCGGGTTTAATGAGGATTTTTGTGTCCCTAGTCATCCTGAACTTTATTTCTTTTGTCCCACTCTCGCTCCTCTCTCATTAGCGGCGCGCTGATTGATCAGAACGCTCACGTGTTACTATGGTCCTGTGGACGTAGAGCCACTGCACACAGACTGAGCAAGAACCAGAGCTGGCTAGAATGTGTTGCTAATGTTTGGGACGTCCATAGTGCGAGCATACGCTAATGAGCACAGGCTACTGACCAATAACATTAGACATTCACTTGGATTGTGGATTTTAGCTCAATATTGAGACTCCAAGCAAACTATATATTGAATATTTATTAACATCGACATCAGGACAGAGTTTATTAGGCCCTCTTTATATATATATATATATTTAAAGGTAAATATGTTACTATACAAGGTGTGTGTAAATACTACTGCGCTAAAGCAATTAGGATGTTATTACATAATGTCTCAATGGATCTTGATGGGACAGGCTCATTTAAAAAAAGATGAATTTTCATTTATTTTATGCACTTCAACTCTTAAACCAGCAGTTTGTTTCCATCATCATTTTAACATTGTTGAATGATTTGTATGGTGTCCAAAAAGTAGTTCAAATTTATTTAGATGATGTAGAAAGTTCAGGTAATCAGTCATCACAGTTACATTACATTAGTTACATTACTTTAGTTACAATGCATTTTCTTAACTCCTATAGAGAAAGATAAGAGTTCCTTTATTCATCCCACAGTGGGGAAATTTGGCCGTTGCAGCGCACATACAGGACAGTGGTAAGGGCACACAGGGAGCACATTAAATATACAACATAAGTAGTAGCTATGTTTCTTAATAGCTGTAGATGCTGAAAATGCTTCAATACCAGTCAAAAAAGGGTAAACGCAAGTTTTCCCCAAAAACATAATGCAAAAGCAGCTCTTTGTGTCAAAAAGAGATCTGCGACTGTGTTCTGCATTTAATTGGCAGCGCATCACGTAGAATAATTGGTATGCTCTGAATGCGTGAGGACATGGACCCGAGACTGCCGCTAATTGTAAAATATGAGTTAGTACCGTTTTGCACGTTTAAAACACTGCAAAATGCAAGCCTTTAAGATGGAAATCTGAATGAAAAGTTGAGTCCTGCTTGATTGTAAGACTATGGGTTGTAAAATGTCAATACAATTCCCACACTGCACATTATAGCCCATGTTAGTCACAGAGGCCTAGAGCAGCGGGGGGCAGGCCGCTCGGAGCATGTGAAGTCATCAGCACTACACTCCCCCATCAGGAGAAGGCTCTTATGAAAAGTGGCAGCATGAAATATGTACAGGCTGTCGTGGCTGCCCAAGGAACCTCCCCCCTCCTCCACCCCGGCCTGATCCAGACCCACAGGACCCCCTCCTCCACCCCGGCCTGATCCAGACCCACAGGACCCCCCTCCCCCACCCCAGCCTGATCCAGACCCACAGGACCCCCCTCCCCCACCCCAGCCTGATCCAGACCCACAGGACCCCCCTCCCCCCACCCCAGCCTGATCCAGACCCACAGGACCCCCCTCCCCCACCCCAGCCTGATCCAGACCCACAGGAACCCCCCTCCTCCACCCCGGCCTGATCCAGACCCACAGGACCCCCTCCTCCACCCCGGCCTGATCCAGATCCAGACCCACAGGACCCCCCTCCTCCACCCCGGCCTGATCCAGACCCACAGGACCCCCCCTCCTCCCACCCTGGCCTGATCCAGATCCAGACCCACAGGACCCCCCCTCCTCCACCCCGGCCTGATCCAGATCCAGACCCACAGGACCCCCCCTCCTCCACCCCCGGCCTGATCCAGACCCACAGGACCCCCCCTCCTCCACCCTGGCCTGATCCAGATCCAGACCCACAGGACCCCCCCTCCTCCACCCCGGCCTGATCCAGATCCAGACCCACAGGACCCCCCTCCTCCACCCCGGCCTGATCCAGACCCACAGGACCCCCTCCTCCACCCCGGCCTGATCCAGACCCAAACAAGCATAGTCACTGACCATATGCAGTTATGAATACACCTTGAGAAAGGCAGGTAATTGTGTGGAGGGATTGGTTATTGGAGCTTTGGTATTCAGCTCCAATAACCAATCCCTCCAACGTATGGAACATTATACATGTCCCATACGTTTTCTGCTTGAATTACGTCACATTCGAAAACGCTCAATGTCAAAGTGAACACAAATCATGAATCACATTTGTTCTGGTCTTCATTTGCTAAAGTCAAAGTTGTTGTGTGTCCAGCCCCCAGTGTCAGTGTGATATAAGTTGTGTGCTCCCTGCATCTAATTATGAAGCTGTTTATTTACAATTATCATTAGGTCTGTGAACCAGGAAGTGCACTCTTGGCATGCTAATTCCTGTAAGGCAAAAATCTACTTGGCCTTTGAGAACTAAAAAAAAAACACCCTCATGCATTGAATAAATAAATATGAAGTGAGAAATACAGAGAACAAAAACATAAACATTGCATTTCATCAACAAGTCAAGTCTTTCACATCTTTCAAATCCTTTATTATTTATTACGTATGCCTTTTATTCCCTCAAAACAAACATTTGGCACATGGAAAGCAATGTAAAAAGCATTTTAAATAATACGTATATAAGCATTTCATTTTGTAGCACAGTGCACACATGGGAGCCAGGTATAGAAAAAGGTCACGTACGTTCTCATGCACTGGCCTTCGTTTTTCTGAGGATGCCACTCGCTTTGTCCGTTAAAAATACTGACCACATGAGACACATTTGACACGCATACGCAAAGATCTACATAATACGTAGTTTCTATCAAAACTATGTGCTAAATGTAAGGAATTTTGACTCTGTTTTTGTGGATAGTTGGGCATTGATCAATTTGGAAAAAGGGCGATTTTACCCAAAAATATAGCGACTATACATTTAATGATAATATTAAAGTCAACGTCAGTTACTTTACAAATTTGGAAGAGAGGGAAACTTTTTGAAGACAAGGACATGCTCACCCGTGCAGCTTCCTGATTGGTCAAAATGAATTCAAATCCTTGAGGCCCCTTCGCCATTGGTTAAACTGTTCTCCTCACTCACATCTTATTGGTTGTAGTTATGCCTGGGGGAGGTGCTAATTTTAACATAGTATTGTTGAAAAATACTTACTGTACAAGATGGTACAGTGTTCCATGGTCCGAAATATATATTTGTTTAAATCATTGACTGCCAGCTGTTTTTTTATGATTTCACTCACTTTCAAGACCCTCAGAATATTGTGTGCTATGACTATGGGAAATATGGAACCAGATTCTGAAAGATTGGACTGTCTACTTTCATCAACAAAAATGTGTTGGTTTCTAACTGCTTTTGTTCTCCTGTAATCCCCAGGCGAAGACAGGGAAGTTTGACAGAAATCACCAGTATTACAACAAATACGTCCATGGCACTCAATGAGTTAATCATGAAACACAATTCAAGTTCCTGACATCACCCATTTTTCTTATTTTTTGTTTCTTATCTGGCAACACTGTCATTCATGGATGTAAGAGCTCAGTAATAAATAATAAAAAAAATAAAAAAATATATTGCCTTATTATAACCCACGCCAAAAGCTGCTCTCAAACCGATGTTAGCTTTATGCCAGATTTCAAAATGGACATTTCCGAACAGTGTCAGGAGCGGTGCGCCCACTCAGAAAAGGACGCGCTGAGAGCGTTTGGGCCTGTGTGGAAATGAGAACAGGACAAGAGCGCTAAAAGTGGAGATGGAAATTGCTGGTGCATTTTGGTACAAATTCTGCTTTTATCAACGAGACCAGGCTCCACTCTGCTGCACAGACGGATTGAAACTCGCAGACATATTTCTACAGACAGATCTCTATCCATTGTAATTGTACAAGCAATTTTAGGGACAAGAAACTAAATTACATCATATTGTTGATAAAAGCTGCATTGCGTAACTTCTCTTTATTATAAGTTTGGTTGTTTGCTTTGGTCGGACCTTCGAGAATTTTTTTATTTATTTTATCCATATTTTTTTTTCATTTATAGGAATAACATTTGATAAACACAATCATGTAAAATTACAAAAAATATATCTGGGCCAATAGTTAATACATAATTTAGCGAGCAACTACATTGTCCTTGATTTGATCATTCTTATTCTTGCAAAATAATGTTTTAAGTCCGATCATGTATTCACAAAAACTTTTAGTGATTAGTGAAAATGGCCCTCTTCTTGTTCTTAATGGTCCTTAATTTTATTACAATCATATTAACTTAAGAGTGTCTGTCTACTTTAAAAGAAAAAAACAAACTGACATTTTGACATTTTTAGCTTCCATATTGATACTGAAATTTAAGAATATGCCAAATTTGATACCCATACACTATTGCCCATTCTTAGTATCGAACGCTTCAGAAATTAATAATCAAATCAGAAAAACCTCAGCTAGACAAAGACTCGATTCAAAAAGGCTGAATCCTCAATTCCCGCCATAGACTGAATAGAGATGGACGATGCTAACCGGCTAGCTCAATGATGCTCTTTAGGGAAGTGCTCATGGACAAAGTTTTGCTCAAACTTCCTCCTATTGACTTACATTGAAAAGTGAACTCCTCTAGCTCATTATCTGTTTTTTGTTCCACAATTTTGGGCTTACAAAAGGTTTGCACTCTGTGATCGTGGTGTTTGATCCAGATATGAGCCATATAAAGGATTGACCAATCAGACGCCTTGGTCTTGGGACTTAGCAACCATAATGGCAACACGTCTGCCTCCGTTACGGCAATAAGTTAACAAACGCCCATATAAGGAAATTGGCTTCAGCTAGCTTATGCTAACCCAAACACAGTGAATTTGGCCTACCCTTGGAGCCACAGATTACCACCATCTTCCAAAGCTTTAAGGTCCAATTTGAAAGTCTATAGTAATGCCTCGCACGCCAAAACGCACACTACTATAATAAAAGCAAACACCCACATATGATGTAACGTCTCACACTAAAAGAAAATGATCTAACGCTGAACTATCAGTAACACGCAACGCGCCCCTTCTCTCGCTCTGCTTGTGGAGCTACTTGTTTGGAAGTAAAGTGGATTGCGGCATTAAAGTTTGATATGGACGTGGGCAGGGGTATGAGATATTCATCATCCAAACAAAACAGTCGCAAAAAGGGCAGGCAAAATGCTGGAAAGTCAGGCACGCCAACACACAATTCACAGCTTTAGTCCAGATACAAGTGACCCGTGTAAAAACATATCCAGGGATAGCGCTGTATAGTCTTTTCATTCGCTTAAATACTGAGGGGGGGGGGGGGGGGGGGAGTATTGGATATTACATTTTAACCTTGTGTCTATTTAACAACCTACAAAAAGAGCACATTTCCCCATAGCATTTTTAGCATTATTGACCCAAATGCGGAGCAAAATTCAATATCTAGGGTCATTAGTGGCACAAACGAGACTACCGGGCTGTATCGAACTGCAAAACTTACACAACGGTTAGAAAGAAGCACAGAATGCCAAGATCTGATCGCAGACAGAGTTCAATAAAGGGGCTCATGCACAGGTCAAGTATAGCATAAGATATATAAATGTATGTACAGGCGGATTCTAATGGCTTTCATTGCACAACAACAATACAGAGCTAACAAAGGGGTAGGTTAGTTCAGGGTAATGCAGCTTCTCATAAGTAGATTATTGAAATATAAGCAAGTCAATGTAATGTGCGTTTAAAAGTATAGCTATGTGGAATGTTTATTTTTTTCTGTTATATTCTACAGCAATCCACTGCACGGCTTTGATAGTGGGTTAAGTATGATCCCAAAACAGGAAGTAACAATTCAAGTTTTGAGACCTGAGTCATGGCCACGGTACAAGTCAGCTGCAGCGGTCCTAAAAAACAAAAAATTAATAAACTTTTGAGCTTTTAGCTTTGAGATGTTGGTAGTTATTTTATATGTAGTACGTATGAAAATAATTGGTCTACATCACTACCTCACTGTCAATCATTCTGCTCAGCTCCAATCCATGTAATACGGGGCGCTAATTGCTTGAATCGAGTGGTTTTTAATCTTAATTTGAGCACATTCTGTCGTAAAACAAAATTTGCCAATGGGACAAAGCCATTTGGTGGTATTTCAAGAACTTGAAACTCATTCCAAGGGAGACATTTCTTGTATCTTTTTAAATCATAATTTTTTTTGTCCTATTGGCAAATCTTGTTTAAAGGCAGTCAGAAAGTGCTAAAATTAAGTTAAATTTTTGCCAAACTTGAGCAATTTTCAACCTAATTTTCATCACTTTTTGCAGTGTAGGGGAAATAAAACCATTAGAAATATATTGGCCCTGTGGAAAAAACCTGAGGTACCCAACTTTGTCACCCGTAATTATTAAAAGTGTCTTGTGAAAGTACGCATGCTGTGTTTTGCATATTCGTGAGAAGGCTTTCGGCGGATTGGCTGAGTGAGGGTGGGTCCTCCAGTTTTCACATTTCTTGTCTGAACAAACATGACAGAGCAGAGTCTAACCAAAATGCATACGTGTGAAAACTATTGATAAAGCCAAACTGTTTTAGAGCCAGGAATTCACATTGATCACATTGATTTTATTGCATTTTTGAGATTTAAAAGTTAGGTACCCCAGCTTTAACATGCTGACATCGGCCTGTAACGGCTGTTTGAACTTATTACATTTTGTTTGTACAAGTTAATGCTTTGACTGGGTTGCTTCAAACTGATCAAATACCGGCCAGACCTCCCACTAGAAAAGCCACATAGGGAATCTTCCCAGACTTTTTGCAATGATATGACCATTATGTGTGTGTTTTTAAGCTTGTATGTTTCAACTTCTGCACACCACTGCTTGTATATCCATGGGGTTTCAGATTCAGATCAAAACCAGAACCGTTGCCATAGTAACTAACGATCAAACATAATAATAAAATCATCTTTTGAATGAGAATAGCCTTCTCCAATTGTCGCATGAAACAGGAAGCTGGGATCCCACCAATAGGGATTGCAATTCCAGTGTATACAGTATTGGATATGAAGCGATACAGACATATTTTTTTCCCCAAGTTGTAAAATATGAAAAAGCAAAGGTACTCTAATAATACAAATAACGCACCATATTTGTACGATAACGGTGTAACACTTACTGTATACGTTTTGTAATTCATTTCGCACACGTCCAGGCTAGTTGCTTACATCTGAGGACTGTAAATAATGACAAAACATGCCTTCTACTATGCTAGGAGTGTATATGTGCGTGAGACAGTGTCCACAGGGGCAGCTCTCAGGCCTGCTCTGCGTCGCCGGTGGGGGGGGTGGCTCCGGGGAACTCTGGGTTGATAAAGGAGAAGCCCTGAAACTCGTCCTGGTCCAGGTTCTGTATGACCTCCTCGTCGGGCGGGGTCAGCACGGGCGGGTGGCGGGTAAAAAAGCGGTCAAAGTTTTCCGCCTCGCGTCCACACTGTTAAAGAGGTTTGGAGTGAAGCGGGAGGGAGGTGGAAGGGGCAGGGGCAGGGGCGGGAGGGGGTAGGGATGAGGAGAACAAAAAAGGGGATTGGTGGATTGAGCCGGGAGGTGAGATGACAACATGTGAACATTGTTTGGAATATCGGAAAAATGGGAAGAGTTGGCGAGCTTTTATTTTTGTGCCGATATTTTTTCTAATCCAATAGTGACCGTACGGCACTAGACAAAATGTGCAGATACTGTTTACCGCAAAAACTGTAGTCTTAGCAAAAATACTGTAGACATAGTAATACAGTATCCACCCTGTGTCTATGGAAAACTCACAGAAGACAAGTTATCTGCTATTTAGTTAAACAATCGAGTAATAATTGATGAAAAACTGAAATATTTTGTCGTGAAGTATAGGTCTTAATCCTGACAATCACAGTCTCATTGCACCTGAGAGGCTTTAAGCACTTTGCGCATTTACCACAAGTTAAAACTATATTTACAAACTATAAAAAGTAACTGGCTGAGAGCGTTCATAGCTCCAGCCTAATTCAAGATAACATCCTTGCAATAATGACGTCGTTTTTTTAACACCTGAAGCTCGCCAAAACCCTCGCCATCCCTTCATCCAATATCCAAAGCATATTCAATACATTTCAAAACATGCATCTCGAATGATAGCCAGTCGAATGGAAGTGCACTTTGTTTGAGTAAAGAACTTTTTTTTTTTTTCAAATGTTGCAAGATGTGTATTGCAATTTGCACGCCTAAGCAAGCATAAAGGAAACCGCTGAAAGCCATTCATTACGGGACAATTATGGGTTAATTGTAGGTTAATTATATGCAGCAGCTATGAAGCCTGCTGAGATGTGATCTACTAAATCAGGAGGGGAAAATAACTCAAGGAAAGTGCCAGCGCTCAACTCACCATAACAATTACGCAGACTCGGAAGTTTGTAAGAGCTTTGAGTGCTGTCGTCTCAGTTTGGACATTATTTTATATACTTGCTTAAAACACGTACCTGCATAAACTAATCCAAGCTTCAAAAATGCAAGTCTGAAATTATTATTATCTTGCAAGTAATTTTCCAAGTTAGTAATTACATGATTTGCTTGCAATATTGAACTCCCCAATCTCCCAAATGTCCTGATGACATTCAATGCAGTACTCAAAGTTCAAATCTAGTTTTTAATGTATATTTTGACGGTAAATAATGAAATATTAAGTGCTAAATTAAGTGCTTAAAAACAGTAATTCCCCATGTGGCCAGACTACACTGGAGAAAAAAAAGATAAGGAATTCTCTCGTTTCATCAAAATACATCTTTGGCCGAATAGCTTAGTCACATATTAGCCCAAATACCTATAAAAAATGGTTTTGGTCCACTTCTTTTTCTCACCATTGGGATGACAACTAAACGAGACCACGGGGACACATCCATGTAGATAAAAACTCATTTGTAAATTAAAAACTCTGTCTTTCAGGAGCGGCCGATCTCTATCACTGCACTGGGCTTTAATTAACACAACAAGGATCCTGCGTCCTTTGACAACAGCACCCATAGGAGAGAAGCATAAACTCATTAGGTTTGCACTACTCCCAAAGCCAAATGAAATGAAGCCGTATACGGTTTGAGTTTAGGGAAATCTGGGAAATGAGAAAAGCGCTGAGGTCAAATTTTATTTACGGATAATTGCTTGGGTGTTCCGTCTGCTCTGGGGTATAGGCAAATAGAGCGTCCCATATAGGGATTAGAGGAGAGTCAACTTACTGTAAATATGAGGCGTTTTTAAAGAAATAAAATGTAATGCACATTTCAATATTATAATTTTGCCGGGGGACTATATTTCACCATAACAAGGAGTAAGTATACAGCTTTGAGACTAAAAATGGCTATAATTGGGGAATCAATAGGGAACCAATGCCATTTCTATTGCCATGACAAAATGCATTTATGTCCCTGTGTTTATTTAAGTCACACAATATAGTTTGGTAGATGGTTTTGTTTTTATATTACCATTAGATTATTTCAGTTTGATACTAGTCTGTAAAGATCCAGTCCTTTTAGTGTTTCTGGACTCCTGCTGGAGCCCAGAGTATGGACTGAACATGGGGAGGCTGCTGAACAGTTTTCCTGAAAATGTGAGACAAGCCTCTACTCTGACAATGTTCACATTGTTTTAGGAACCGTGAAGCACTTTTTATATGAAAAGTGTTCTACAAATATAGATGGATTGATTTATTAATCACGCTTTTAATATTCTAAACTTGCAACAAATAAAATGGGAGGAAACACAATTGACTCCTTTTGAGAAAGGTATATGTTAAAGTATAGTTCCCAGTTGAACTAAAACATGTTTTTAATACCACACAATTCAAACCGTAAATGTGTTTGTTTTCCTGTATTGAACAATAAAATGTTGGTGAAATTATATTAAATGTAACATTTCTACAGTAGTGCACAACCAGAAGATTGGTTTCATTTGAGGCAAGGTGTTGGTTCATGCAAAAACATACAAAAACACATTTAAAATCAAACCAGTACAAGTTATGTGACAGAGGTCAGACAGATGCATGCTGGGAGAGTGTGAAGAACAGATGACAATGCACTGTGTGGTCTGAGTGAGTTCACACAGAAACAACAGGATGATCCTTCCAAGTGATGGTGAGTGGACTGTAATCAGCAGCAAGATTAAAAGGACCACATACAGCTTCAGTGGCACTGGGCCATGGATAGATCATACAGCATTTTGGTTTTAGAAAGAGATAGACCGAAAAAAGCTAGATATAAAGATATATATGAAATAAACGTAAAACATGAAATTACTTCTTATAAATTAGGGGATGTTTTTGGTTTTTTCTTTACTGGACACCAACATTAGTCATATTCCTGCTATTTTGATTCTTACAGCAGCATTTCTCACTGGTGTTGCATTTTATGGGTCGCAACAAAGGACATGAGTGCAACCTCTGCACCCGCCCTCCCCGTCCAGACGTGTGAAGGCTCTGGTGCCGTGCGTGACCATGATGACGGCCGCACTGTCAGCTGCAGTGCGCAGGTCTGGCTCCGTGCTCCTCAGTGCTTTGGGTTGATGGGTCATGAGTATCAGCTAAAGACTCTGGGTCAGAGGCCCACAGGGCGCTCCAGTCGGTCTACAGTCTGCACACTCCATCTTCCCCTCTCTCTGCTCAGAGCAGAGGCTCTGATGGACAGAAGCTGACTTGGCCTTACGCAGACTAGATGATACTGAAGAGTTTAGCTTTGTTTCACTTTTAAAACATTCATGTATCAACTCAACAAAAGTCAACAAGTGAGCTGCTCTGAACCAGGACTCAGGTCTGGACTCGGACCGAACCTGGACTGAACAGGACTAAACCCTTTATATAATTATTTTCATATGAATTAAATACATATATGTCTATACATATAAATTATATTATATCAAATTATTGTAGCAATAAGATACAATTGTTGAGTCATGAAGACTTTAGTGTTACGTGCTAATGTAACATCAGTTCTGAATAAATCAAAATCAAATATCCCATCGACATTGATATAAACTACGTGTGTCAAATCCTGGCTTCATCGCCGAGACCAACATCCTGGATATGAATCCTGGATCATTTGGGTCCCACAATGTTTTGGTAAAGGTAATTTTAAATATTGTCCAAAATGCTGCATGATCTGATGTATCTGAAAACTAAATCTACATATGGCCCATTTAAGCAATCTTCACCCAAAGCATCCTCGACAGATGGTTGTGGACTTTCAATGCTAAAACTTTTATGCAAGTCCTAAAAAAATCTGCTCCCTCCTACAGCACTCACGGACCAGAACGGACCAGACCGGAACGGACGCATCCCGAAGATACAAAACATTGAAAAATCAAATAATTCACGAGTTAGCATGTATTGTTTGCACCTGATTCAAATGCAAAAAAAAAAACTTGCAGATTTTGTCTTCAACACACTCACTTAAAATCCCAGTGTGACTAGACACAGATGCGGAAAACGCTTTGACTCCGAAAAACTCTTAAGGAGCGCAGTGGCCTGGGGCTGCGAAGGTGCAACTCTGCATAATATAGCACGGGATGACATCATTTTGATCAAACTACTTCTCATCAAATGTAGGGGAGAAAAAAAAAAAAAAAAAAAAATGGCAAATTTGTGGCTGACGCTGCATGGATGAACAATTGGTATTCTCCAGAGGTTCCACTGAGCTCGCTCTGGAAGCCCAGAGGAGAACTTCTGTGATGTAACCGCATTGTACTCCAGCCACTGTAACTATAATCCACATGGGACTTTGCTGCACGACACTGTCAGGACTTACCTGTGATGACAACAGCGAAAAGAATAGAGAAATATGTGGGTCAAAATGTAAAAAATATGATTAAGAGACAGCAGAGGAGCACACTGTGATGATATGCACGAGGTCAAGTGGAGAAATCACTGCTCCCATCTCCAGTCAAGGTTTTTGCGGAGAGCGCGACTTGAAGGTAAGGGACGGAAAATTGGGGACGTTTTTTAACTACTTTTTAGAAGCGTTTTAAATTGGTATAAAAAAATAATAAAAAAATAAAAAATCCTACTCGCTGCCAAAAACGTGATTGAAGTTAACAGTATTCAAGATTCAAGAATGTATTTTCCATTTGCAGTAAAACCACATTGCAAAAACTGCAAGACTACTACCCCAGTGTGCACCAGACAGAGAAGACGGCACACACCAGTTTAGTAGAATATTGGTATATTTTAAATACTCTAAATGTATGACTATTTCCAAGAACTGTAGAATTTCGTTTCTTTATTTCTGCAATTATGTGTTGAAAATATAGGCTTCTCAAGATAAATAAACACATTTTTACCCATGCTAATAGAAAGTCAAATGTACTTAAAGCTGCGGTACCTTACTTGTTTGTTTAAAAAATACTTGTTTGTCTCTATAGAAAGTGTCTCGTAAAAGTACAACAAAAAAGTGTAGTTTATAGACCACAACATACGTGCCTGTAATACAGAGCTGTGTGAGTCACTTTTTGGCGCTTTAGTCTGAGGGCTGGCAGCTGATTGGCCGAGTAGGGATGGTCCTTCTTTTTCACTTTTCTATCTGAAAACGCTGATTTACAGATGTGACAGATTCCAAAATACATGCATTTGAAAACTAGCGATAGAAGAAAACTGTTTTGACAGCAAGAAACTAGTGACATGGATTTCATTTTTTGCATAGTTTTAGGTACCCCAGCTTTAACGTCTAGTCTAATCCGAACGGCCGGACGCACCGGGACTGGACAGTGACTTCTCCACGCGACGGGGGCAGGTGAGCAGGAGTGTGTCAGGGTCATGTGACTTACGGCTCGCGGCTTGAACGGCGGCTGCACTTCCTTGTTCTCCAGTTTCTCCCAGTCCATGTAGCGGAAGAAGCTGTGCTCCCGGATGTCGCGCTCTCCCTCCGGACTGCAGCCCAGCCGCTTCGCCGGGTGCTTCGTCATCAGCTGGACACACACACACACACACACACACACACACACATTTTAGATGGAGGAATACTGTATTTACCGTATAAATAGAGTTTGTACGGTCTATTGGCGCTTATGTATTTTTTACTGCACTAAAGGCTGAGAGCAGTTAGACGTTAGAAATGTTCTTCATTTTGAAAGAAAGCACTATTTTTTCAATGAGGATGACATTAACTGAACTAGAAATACAATGTACATTTTTCACCACTAATGTCCATAGTTCTAAGCCACGTGTGTCAAATTGCTTATTGGGGATGAGAAAACCCATGTGCCATTTTGCCCGTCGACTTTATGCTAATCAACATCAAGGAGATGTTTCAGTTTGCATTTTGTAATTCATTGCAAGAAGGAACAAGGTTTGAGCCAATCAGGGCCAATCAGTGTCTGCATGTTCTCCCTGTGTCTGCATACATTTCTTCTTGTTTCCTCTATCACTGAAAACAATAGCAGTACAATAATATATACTACTGCTACTAATGCTACTACCACAACTACTACTGCTACTACAACGACTACTGCAACTGCTACTACTACAACTACTACTGCTACTACAACGACTACTGCAACTGCTACTACTACAACTACTACTGCTACTACAACGACTACTGCAACTGCTACTACTACAACTACTACAACTACTACTGCAGCTGCTACTGCTACTACTACCACAACTACTGCTACTGCAACTACCACAACTACTGCTACTACTGCTACTGCTACTACTGCAACTGCTAATACTACTACAACAACTACTGCAACTGCTACTACTGCAACTGCGACTACTGCAACTGCAACTACTGCTACTACCGCAACTGCTACTACTGCTAATACCACAACTACTACTGCTACTACGACAACTACAGTACTGCTACTGCTACTACTGCTACTACTACTACCACAACTACTACTGCAACCTGCTACTACTGCAACTGCGACTACTGCTAATACCACAACTACTATTATGTGACCTTGGTCGGCGAAATGCGCTATATAAATAAAGATGTCTGACTTTTGAACAGTGGATCCTTTTTTATTACCTTTCCAAACATTGGCAGTTCAGTTACTTTTATGGAAGTTTTGTTAAAAGCCCAACAGATAAAGCATATGACCGCATTATGCATGAACCCCACTGAGATATATGACTTTTCTTTTGCAGTCACGGCTGTCCTGAGGCGGGCGGACACGCTGAGGCTGCTGATCTGTGCCAACACCCTCCAACTGCCTCGAAAAGGACAAACTGACACGGAGCACTGGACGAATGTCACCACATAGATTTGACTATTTCACTAATTCAAACCTTTAGAAAAATTATAATTTTCTAAAGGGCATACCACGTGACAATAGCATTACATGAAAAGCACAAATCCAGCACAAGTTTCGGTATAATGTGATTGGAATTGTTACTTTTATGAATTTGTTTTAGATCAAAATTGAGATCTTTGAAATGTATCATATACAGTGGCTTGCAAAAAAACAACTTGAGCATTTGCACATTTTTGCTGCTGAGTTTGACAAAGTACAAACTCATGATCTATCAATACTTAGAATACAACCATAACCACCTATGAGTTTTGAAACATTTAGCATAAAATCATGAATACATTTGCTTTCACTGCACAGTCGTCTGTTACCGTTGTCGTCTTCCCAAAAAATAAAAATAAAAATCATATGTATGTCCGTGGTTAGAAAATAAAAAGGTGCAAAAGTAGAATCAGTACTGTATGTATGTGTATTGTATAACATGCAACTCAAATGCAGCCATTGAGGCACTTTCACAGCATCATCCAGCTAACTTCAGCCCTACCAATAAAATCATGCCGTACCTCGTTGTAAAGCTCGGACCCTTTGGAATCCAGTATGTGCTTTTTTTACTTTATTCACGAACATACGGACTGTGGTTTTGATAACGGTAACAACATCCGGGTTGCCGGTCCTTGGACAAGTCTGATGAACTAAAGTTTTCCTCTTACTTCAAAGTTTGGACAACCGTGACATAGACTCTCACATTCCTTCCCTCGGCTTAAACCTACCGACTAACACTCACGCTAACACACCGATGATCCACAGATGTCATAGATCATCTCCTGTGCGTATACTGTAGTAGACAATATTATCATACATTGTACATAAATATACGTTTACGAACCATATAAAAATGGGAGAATTTTACAGCATTTAATCACTTTTTACACGCCGTCTTAATTACAGCAGTACATAAAGACATACGCAAGACCAGGCGCATCTGTAAACGATTACAGGTCTATAATTTGACTTGAACTCCATCCTCCGTAGCTAGAATTCCCCGCTGGATTCATTAGAGTTCCATCTGATTTCCTCCCGTCTCTCCTGCTTACCCTTTCCTCGCTTGACTCCACATATCTGGATTTTTATCACATCCACCTCCCCTTCTTTAAGCACACATTTATGCCACTATCTATCATCATATGCTTCTCCCCGGGGGGGCACGGGCCAGAGCCACCAAGCGGCCCGCGACGCACAAGCGCGGATCTTGGTTAATCCCCCCCCCCCCCCTCCCCTCCCCTCCCCTCCCACCTCTCTGCGTTTGTCCGGCGGCAGAATTTAGGGAGCGTTTATGATGTGTGGCGTCATGGCGGCTGACGTCAGCGTGGTGTGTAGGTGGGGTGTGCCGCCCTGGGGATCTGGAGTCACAAGTCGTTACGTGGCCGCTAAAATAGAATTGGCGCCGGGCCGGTCAAGCGTCCACTGAACTGCGGCCGCACGCGAGGAGCCGTTGCACTGCCGCAGTCGTGGTGGGTTTGGATTTTTGTAATTGATATTTTGTATGCGGGGAGTTTGTGAAAGGTTAGGGGGATGGTTTGGCTTTCTGTGAGGGAGGGGCAAGTGTCACAGAGAAAACACAAAAATACAAAATGAAATCATGGAAGAAAATCCCAATGAATATAATTTACATAAATGTTCTAAAATAGAGGTGGGTGGGCGATGATCTCAATAACAATATTCACATCATTTTTGGTAAGTGTTGTACATGTTCTGAAATAAACATTGAGTGATTGATTTTAAACTAAACTCTTGCTTGTAAAAGGCCTTGGTTGTGGAATTGTAAAACTAAACACAGAAATGTAACTTTATGCGTACGTATTTAAAAGTAAAACGCACCAGTATACCATTTCAATCAGGTCTTTTCCAGTCAACATAGCTCTAATATGTTTTTCTTTCTTTTAAGATATCGTCTCCTTCTACGTTTTAAGCACAATGTGAAAGCTCCGACTTAAAAGTGAATGTATTCTTTATTATCTCCAAAGGGAAATTTGTCATCCCCATTTGACCCATCCCTGAACAAAACCCACCATGCCTTTAAAGTGATTGTCGGGAGTTTGTCAGAAAAAAGACAGATGTACAGGATTTGAAAAAAAAACGACCCAAGCTCCTCCCCCTTCCTTTCTGATTGGTCTAAACCTATATTTCCGTTACAATCAATCAACACATTTAGATGTTAATCACAGAACACATTATACATATACATTATTAATACACATGCACGGAGGTTTTCAGAATTATCTGTTAAAGTTTTCATGACAAAAAACATGTTTTAATGCACAAAAAAAGCGATCACGGTAAACCCGGGAGTAGGTATTATCATTAATTGAACATTATAGGACAAATCTGCAGAGGATCTAATTATGGATGTAGGTTCACTATATAAATGATTATGGATATAGGTTCAGAGCCAAATGGAGGCTTGATTGGGAGGCTCCATGAAAACAAACAACTGAGCATGAGCAGCTGCGAGCATCAGCGCGATCAGCGCGATGATTGACAGCCCTTGGCATGACTTGATTGGTTAAAGTGGACGGCATCGTGGGTTTTGAGCTATAGCTAAGAGAAGGGAAGGCGGGACTTATCTGTAATATTAGAATTCCTAAAATGACTTATTTTATATCAAAATTTAAGGCCAGGAGGTCAATTTAATACAATTCGTAAAATGTGTAATTCATTTAGAGTTCCAGACAATCACTTTAAATTCCAAACCTTAGAAATGATGAACACAAAGCAAATTCTTACCATGCTTACCATTTCCATACAAAAACGACTAAGTTGGTATTCTAGATAAAACCACATTCAAACAAATATATGACGCTCCTATTACAAGTACATGAAGCATTTTTTTCTCTACCTATCCATTTTTAGTGTGCAAGAATAAATTTCGATCACATTTTCAAATCCACTAGTGACTTCCACTGCGTCATTTTTTATCTGTGCCAAACTTTCAAACATAAGATGAATAAGAAATCAAATAGCACCTTGTATGAACACTGCCGCTGTCATTTAAGATCAGCGCATTAAGTGTTGTGTTTGTGGCCTTTTGTTTACCGCATCATGTGCAGAGGAAAGTTGACACGATGGACCGCAGCAGGAGCGGCCTCCTTCCCCGAATGTGTAAGTTTGTACGCTCTATTGGCGCTTATGAAATATGGATGGCAGTTGGAGGAGGCAGGGGAGTGGAAATGTCTGCGATCATTCCATTTTCTTTTACACACATGTGCTCCGCGCGCACACACAGCACGCACGCACAAGGCACGCACACAGAAGAACACACTCACAGAGCACACACACATCACACACACACACCGCAAACATGCATTTTTATGAGCCGCCTACAACTTAATGTAAGCCCAGTCGAGTTGAACAGACAGATACAACGTACAATCATGGCTTAGTTTGTTGGAAGACCTGAATATTGGTTCATGGGGTTATTAAAAAAAATAAAACGTCATACTCAAGTTTTCTTAATATTAGGGCTTATTGGGCGCTACATTATTGTTAAAGAAGCTATACCCCATTCTTTTTATGAGTTCATGAAAATGCTTATTACTACATACAAGTTGTATTATAATCCGTAATTTAATTGAACTTGAGCTCTTTGATTCAGCTGTGTGTGAATTCAGGCCGTAAAAAGTGCTGAGTAGAGACTTTAGTGTGACGCTCGATCTCCTCCAATCACAAAATTATCAGAGAAGAAATCAAGCCCGGGTGAACATAGCTAGCTTACATTGTATCCTCTGGAGAGACTTGTCTATGGGAGAGACCTGCGGGATCGGGACCGCCTTGGACTATCTATGCTCGGACTATCTACGCTCGGACTATCTACGCTCGGACCATCTACGCTCGGACCATCTACGCTCGGACCATCTACGCTCGGACCATCTACGCTCGGACTATCTACGCTCGGACCATCTACGCTCGGACTATCTACGCTCGGACTATCTCGGACTATCTACGCTCGGACCATCTACGCTCGGACCATCTACGCTCGGACTATCTACGCTCGGACTATCTACGCTCGGACTATCTACGCTCGGACTATCTACGCTCGGACTATCTACGCTCGGACTATCTACGCTCGGACTATCTACGCTCGGACTATCTATGCTCGGACTACATTCGGGCACAAAACTAGTGGTAATGTTTCAGTTGTATATTTTGTTAGCAGTTTGTTGCTTTTGTACCATTTCATCAGTGATTGAGATGGTCAGAGATGCCACCCAGTGCACATAGCACCAGCCCCTAAAAGTAGCAATATAAACGTACACTGGTACAGCTGTGAGGCTTATTGCTGTGATTATATGTGTTGTTTTATGTTTTTATGTGATGTGTTTGCCTTATTCTGAACCATGAGTCTGTAATAAAAGTTGATAATGATGATGATATAATTTCTATATCATGGTGACTGCCTGATACAGACTGTCCACACGGCTCCATGACCTAAGACCTTTCCCACTCGGGGCCACCCACCACCAGAGAAGGGAGCAGAGCAGGGAGCAGAGGAGGGAGCAGAGGAGGGAGCAGAGGAGGGAGCAGAGGAGGGAGCAAAGCAGGGAGCAAAGCAGGGAGCAGAGAAGGGAGCAGAGGAGGGAGCAGAGCAGGGAGCAGATCAGGGAGCAGAGGAGGGAGCAGAGGAGGGAGAAAAGCAGGGAGCAGAGAAGGGAGCAGAGGAGGGAGCAGAGGAGGGAGCAGAGGAGGGAGCAGAGCAGGGAGCAGAGGAGGGAGCAGAGGAGGGAGCAGAGGGGGGAGCAGAGGGGGGAGCAGAGGAGGGAGCAGAGGGAGCAGAGGAGGGAGCAGATCAGGGAGCAGAGGAGGGAGCAAAGGAGGGAGCAAAGCAGGGAGCAGAGAAGGGAGCAGAGGAGGGAGCAGAGGAGGGAGCAGAGGAGGGAGCAGAGCAGGGAGCAGAGCAGGGAGCAGATCAGGGAGCAGATCAGGGAGCAGAGGAGGGAGCAGAGGAGGGAGCAAAGCAGGGAGCAGAGAAGGGAGCAGAGGAGGGAGCAGAGAAGGGAGCAGATCAGGGAGCAGAGGAGGGAGCAGAGAAGGGAGCAGAGAAGGGAGCAGAGCAGGGAGGAGAGGGGGGAGCAGAGCAGGGAGCAGAGGAGGGAGCAGAGGAGGGAGCAGAGCAGGGAGCAGAGGAGGGAGCAGAGGAGGGAGCAGAGGGGGGAGCAGAGGAGGGAGCAGAGCAGGGAGCAGAGCAGGGAGCAGAGGAGGGAGCAGAGGAGGGAGCAGAGGAGGGAGCAGAGAAGGGAGCAGATCAGGGAGCAGAGGAGGGAGCAGAGAAGGGAGCAGAGCAGGGAGCAGAGCAGGGAGCAGAGGGAGCAGGGTTGTGGGGGTGGAGTGAGCGGGCCGTTCATGCTCCACTGAAGATCCGCTGTTGTAGAACTACAAGCAGTAATCATCACTAATACATAACTCTACACAACTGAGCGCCTCGCTATCGGCATAAATGTTCACCATTTGTCCTCGGTTTGGTCATGGAAAGTTTTTAGGAGCAAGTCATTTCCATCCACAGATATGTGGCCGACCCAGTACTGATAAATATAACAATAAAAACGTTAAGTTGTGTTTTCTTAGGGTTTATGGTAATAATTTGATTTGTTAGTTTTCAAACAATTTTCAATATAAATTAAAGACTGAGGTTAACCTCTTCCTGTTTTAGTTCATCAGTAAATTATAATGCAAAATACATTCATGTCAGTATATGTGTGTGTGTGCGCGTGTGTGTTATTTGTGTGTACATACTGTATTTCTTCAGTATTGTTAAAAAAAAGAATCACAAAAGAAATAACACAAGGATGAAGGAGAGTTATGCCTCAAACACAGCAAGCAGTGGGAGAGCGAACTTTTTTCCAAAGTATTTTCACCCTCGTGAAGTGATGCAGGAAATGCACATATTTTTATTGTGGAAGAATTGGGCTTTTGAATTAGGCTGTTGTCAAAATAGACAGTTAGTTATTCATACTTTATGTATCCCCGTAGTGAAATTTGTCCTCTGCATTTGACCCATCATTCATTGCCACTAGGGTCAGGACTCTGAGTAGTGGATTTTAGAGGTAGAGGAAACCGAAGCACCCAGAGGAAACCTATGCAGAGACGGGGAAAACATGCAAACTCCCCCCAGACAGACCCTGTTCCCACCGGGATTGGAACCCAGGATCTTCTTGCTGAGAAGTGAGAGTGCTATCCACTTGGCCAGCGTGGAAAGCCTTATAATATTTTGTCTGAGTTTAAGTAGCTATAGGACACAGGTTTATTGTCAAAATAGATGAATGAGTCCCGACATGAAAGCTAACAGTGGCAATGTTTTCTTCCTCAGAGTTCATAGTGTTATTAATCTTCATCTTTGTCCTCTATGCACTAAAACACCTCTTCATTAAATCATGTTGTGACCAGTGAAACAACCACCGCTTCATTGGTTCGAGTGGTCTGAGCTGCTTTGTCCAGTATATACATCAGACCAAGCTTATTTTCATATTATGCCACATATTTAAAGTCAAGAACATGAACTGTAGCTTTAAGAATCCCAACCAGACACGCTTCTATGTGACACTGAACTAAGTGCTATATAGTTTAAAGAAAAATGCCACGCAGCAATCTAACAATGAAAGTGATGGGAGATGAGCAGGGATGGGAAAGGGGCCAATAGCCAGAGTGAACAATCTTGTTTCACTCCAAATAAATGTTCCTTCACAATTGATTTAATTATGCATGGGACTCCTGCCTCCTCAGCTCAATCTTAACAATTTAATACTTACTGGTGAATGGCTGTGTACTGTATATGAGAGCGGTGCGGGGAAGGAGAGAGCGTGGACCAGACTCACCCCTTTGCAGATGGCCACCGCCTCCTTGGACATAGATTTGGGGTAGGACACGTGATGCTCCATGATGGACTGGAAGAGCTCGTCCTCATCCTCGCCGTCAAAGGGAGGCTGAAGACACGGTGGGAGAGCGTGCATGAAAAGATATAAGCAACGGGCCAGGAACTTAGTTAGATAGACTGACTGTATAATGGTGTTATTTAGAGTGTAAGAAGATTGCTGTATTGTGCAAAAACCACCAACACACACATTCTACAGACTGATCAATCTTTATGGCTACTATATTGTCTATTATCTCTGTTGCATGGATCTGACCAGTTAAAAACGTTAATCTGGAGAAAGCATGAAAGAATGAAACATGGCAACAGAGTAGATCTCATATGTCCCGTCACTCTCATGGGAGATCCAAGTTTTTGCTAATGAAAAAATTAGAATCTTTTTACAGAGATGCAGGAGAAATTATAGAAGGAAAGAGAAATTTGACAATATATAAGGTAATAATTGCTTGAATCAAGTGTTTTTGTAATTCAGAATGTCTTAAAACAAGATTTGCCATTTAGTCAAATATTATCATTTTGCTTCTCCCATTGGCAAATCTTGTTTTAAGGCAGTAAGAATGTGCTCAAATTAAGATAAATTTTACCAAATACAAGCACATTTTTGACTTATTCTTCATCAGTTTTTGCAGTGTGCGGCCCTCTCTGTCTCCACTGGGCCATATTATTTTAAACAAGTAATAAAAAAACCAGGCTCATCAAAGTTTTGTAATATTTTACTCACAGTTCCTTTTCCCCGCTTCTATTTTTAACGGCAATTTGTAGCTGTATCCTCATGTAAGCACTTGCAGATCAAGACCCTAATACTAACGGCTTGGGGCAGTTGGTTGGAGGCTAATTTACCTAATTTGGCTAATTAGCACTACAAGCTAATACTGTATTATCACGACACCATTGAACACACATTAAAATGAACATTGTAATTCATCTAATTCAAATACAACAATATTACTTTTCTTGATGATGGATCACGCTCTATAGACAAGTGTGTAAAATGCAACCGACTGACCTGTCCCGCCAGCATCTCGTACAGCAGGACCCCGAAGGCCCACCAGTCCACGGATTTTCCATAGGGCTGATACGCGATGATCTAAGCAGAAAACAGACATGAAACGGAGTCTGTCGTAAGTGGAGTACCCCCCCCCCCACCCTCCCCCCTCATCCTCTCCTGGACTCACCTCTGGGGCGATGTAGTCCGGGGTCCCGCAGAAGGTTTTGGTGGTGGCCCCATCGGCCATGCTTTCTTTACACATCCCAAAGTCTGCGATTTTAATGTGGCCTTCGCAATCCAGCATCACGTTGTCCAGCTTCAAGTCTCTACAAGAGGGATCACAGGGAGGACGTCGATCTCTCATGATTGGTCACTTAAGTCTTGTTTTGTTGTTATGCGACAGTCAGCAATTTTAAACATAATTCTTTCTTCTATATTACACTAACACTAGAGATTTTTTACTTGCTCTTATGTTATTTTTGTATAGAGTTATGTTTTTCTGTGTGTTCCTCATTCCTTCTGTAATTGGTGATTTCACCAGTCTGGGACGAAAAATAGTTCTCTTAATCCTAAAGTAGCAATTTGTAAGATTTTCATGTCAAGTCATCATTAAACGGCCCTAATATGTCAAAAGGTATTACTAAACCATGCTCTTTTCGAATAATTCTTTAACTGGTCACAGAAGTTCAGCCGAGATATTTGAATTTCAAAACTGGATTTACAGCCCTTGTTATTGTTTTAATTTCAATGTCCCGCCCTCCACCGTTTTACCAATCAGAAAGTCCATAAACTGGGTAGCCAGAACTCCCAGCGTCGAGCTAATCTCACTGATGTGGCCACAGAACTGAAAAAGGTCTCATTATGATTCTCAAATCTTTAATAACAAAACAAGAAATAAAACCAGGATTTTTATCGTGAAAAAGTTGTTGGTTATAGATTTGTTGTTGACGAAACGCTTGTCTATTCAGCTGTTATGGTCCCAGCTGGATTCGTCTGCATATCTGGCAACCTGAGCCCGGGAGAGTGGGAGAGACTGCAGTACCACTTTTGGCCAGATTTTCCACATACTGCTCCTTTAAAAAATTATACTGTCCCTACGATCAGGTATGTTCACAGAGGGATGCATAATTACGGATGGATCTAAGTAAACGTGAGACTGTGCATAACCCCCCTCGGGTAATGCATAGTCTCACGTTTCCTTAGATCCTCTTATTTCTCCTTTTATTCTGCTGCAATGTGCACAACTATGACACGGCAAAGTCCTCACTGAGGCACGAATAAAGGTTATCTTATCTAATCTTGAATGAGTGCTTTGAATAAATCTTGAAGTGAGTTTAACACTGAGTTTTATTGATGCTCTGATCTAAAGGTTTAAGAAATTACAATAATGCCTGAATTTAAAGAAAGCCACACGCCTCAGATCCTTTATGTGGATTTGGTGTTGGCCTACCACCACCAAGGGCAGTGGGAAATAATAATAATAAATAAAACAACTGTAAATCCTAGCTGGTCATTTCACAGGATTATTTTTGTTGTGTAGAGTTATGGGCTAAAAACATTGCAGGAAACCTCTGCAGTGAAAGTAAAAGGCTCCTGGAGGTAGAAATGACACTCGGGCTGTGGTCAAACAAACACCATATAATAAATAAATAATTCTCATGCCCTGATGTCAATCAGTCGACTAAAAAGGGGGCGGGACAAATGCTCTGAAAAATATTGCGCATCTTACCCGAGGCAAAAACAACTTGACAAATACTAGACAATTAGGTATAACAATTTAAAAACGCATGTATATCGACTCAGACAAATAATTAATCAAACAAGTGAATTCAGAGTGACAATATTTTTACTTTTTACTTTGATATTCAAACCAAAGTAGCTGAATATCAAAGTTAATAATATATTTCTCTCCTTATCTGTCAAGGTTTTGATCTATTTCCTGATGTATTCTTTCTAATTTGTAACCTACTGTGTCCTGATAGTCCTGTGAATTATTTTTTTTTTAAACATTTAATTGCTTTTTAGCCATACTGCATTTTTGGGTTTCTATCGTTTTGAACCGTGACAATATCTTCTCATTTTTACAGTTTTCACAAGAATTCATGAAAGACTGATACCAAACAACGACCGCTCTGAATGACACCAAATACACCTCCAAATGAAATACAATTAATTCCATTTTTACTCTTAGAATCCTGAATGCGTTCCTCAAACCGTGCAGTGCCGCTCACCTGTAGATGATGCCCTTTAAATGCAGGAAGAACAGACCGATGGCGATCTCGGCCGCGTAGAACCTGCACGTCCACACAGAGGAGAGAGAGAGGCATTAATTAGAGCGCGCTGTAGATAAAGGACACGGGCAAAACAGTGCGTCGTTTGTGTGCGCCGGCCGAGTATGCGTCTGTGGCTGAGGAAAGGTCAGCCCTGTCTCCACCAGGCCAGAGAGCAGCTGATAAGATCAACAGCATGAGGCGGCCTGGACACGCTGACCGCTCCCCAGTAATTATGTGTCTGTAAACAAAGAATGTGTTGCGCCGCCATTTTGAGAGAGGCGGGCAATCTGCAGGGTTCTTTTTTAGTTCTTGTTCTTCAATAGGGCTGCACAATTCATCTCAATCCCTCCCACTCAAAAAGAGGACTGAGGTGTGTGTTCTGTTTATGAATCCAGACTCTTAAACCCATTTCTTTTGAGAATCGATGACTCTTCTGGCCCCTGGAAAAGCCATGTTCCAGCTTCTTCACTCTGCCAAAAGATTCTTTCCACAAGCTGTTATCAGTTTAAACAAAGCACTTTATTGATCTTGCACTTATTGAAACGGTTTTAGTTTGATTGATTTAACAGTGTCAATTATTTCCTGCGCTTTTATAGTTTATCTCATTTCTGTACTTTTAATAATAATAATAATAATAATAATAACACATTGTACATATAAAGCGCTTTTATGGACACTCAAAGACGCTTAACCTCGTTTTATTTTTTAATTGTCTGGTGCACACTGGAGACTTTTGCAAATGTATTCCATTGTGGTTTTACTGCAAATCGCAATTAAAATTGGGGCGACAGTGGCTCAGTTGGTAGAGCATTGGCCTTTGGGCCTGTAGGTTGTGGGTTCAAGCCCACCACAAGGCCTACTTCACGACTCCCACTGATGACTGCTGTCATTGTGTCCTTGGGCAAGACACTTATCCCTGCTTTGCCTGAAGCCCCCGCTGAAATAATCAAGGCTCCTTTGGACTCACCATCTGCAGGAGGATCAGTGAGGGGCTGGTGCTCTGTGTACTGGGTGCAGCTCTTACTGCCACCCCCCGACCCAGAAATGGATTAAGAGGAAGAAGATGGATGGGCAAATCTAAGCATTGATACATGTTTTAAATGTTTGCAGCAAATAGAATAGAATATTCTCTAATGTGTGGTTACAGAGAGAAAAACAGACAAACATACAACAGAAAATATTCAGTTTGTGGTTTAGTTTATGGATTTATTAGATTAGAGGATTATTAGATTAGTTTAGAGGTTTCATTAGATAGAAGCTCAAACTAAACCAATGAGCAGAAATGATGTCAAATATAATTCTTCAAGTTGTTTATCTATTAGACTTTTCTTTTTAAACAACCAGGATATGAAAAATCACATCTCAATCACCATGTTACTCCAAAATATCGCAAATATATATATTTTTTCCACAATGTTAAACCTCTAATCTGTGATCAGAGAAAAGCTTCTGTGATACAGCAGAAAGCCTAAAAACAGACATTGCTATTCTGCGCAACGCGGTATTCTCTAGTGTTGAAAAAATTAATTAAACAGAGCGGAACAAGCTGATGTTCCGAGATAAAAGAATTCCTCGCCGGTTGGACTTGGCCTTCAGCTGTCTAAAGCACCTGCCACGGGCTACAAAGCTCTTATTCCCACAAATGCAGACAGGCGCCTCGCAGACAGCCCGCTTGTCAAAGGCGTCAGCCCGCCCCATCGCCTTGACACCAGTGATCTCGCCAGCCACCCTAATTATGCTCCGCAATTTCGGGAGGGATTCCGGGGCGCACTGGAAACTCCGAGAACAAACGCATTACTTTCAAGTACTTTACAGCAGCATGGTTCACCGAGGGGAACAACAGATTTCTGCCCCGAGCTATGCCCCAGCAGCACCTATCACATCCCTCACTGCGGCCAGCGCTGACGGCTTCTTCGCAATAATACAAAAACACAGAACAGCTGCCGAGTGCGAGCGCGCCGACGTTTGGGGACAAGGAGGCATGTCGTATATTGCCGGGAAGCACAAACCTTCGCCAAAGCTACGAGATTAACTTGTAAAATGTATGTCACTAAATATTAGATGGTATTGTAGAAATAGGGCCAGAGAATATTAGCAAAAAATAGCTATTTTTATAAATTTTATAATAATAAAGCATCGCTTTTATTATAGCGCTTTTCCAGTTCAAGACGTCATTATTCATTCACTCCAAACACTGGTGATGAACTACTACTGTAGCCACAGCTGCCCTGGGACAAGGAAGGCAACCAGTATGCCATCGGCCCCTACGCCCACCACCAGCCTTCACAGCCAAACGAGGCAAAGTGGGTGAAGTGTCTTGCCTAAGGTGAGTACGTTTTTATAATCAGTACAAAGGGTCATAGACCAGGGTCAAACTATCACTCACTCCACAAAGACAGAATTGTTACAGCCGCACAGCTCTGCAGGGCTCTCCGACCAACATCGTCCTATTGAAATGTCTTGCTCGAGGACACAACAACAGCAGCACGTTTTTGGACAATATGCTATTGATCCAGTGCGTCACCCTCCGCTCACTCACATATTACATTCAAGATTATTGTACATGCCCTTACTAGGGGAACCCAGAGCACCGGGAGGAAACCTACGCAGGCTTGAGTAGAACATGTGAACTCTACACAGAATGACCTGAAGGTGGAATCGAACCCAGGGCCTTCTTGCTGCGAAGCGACAGTATCATTCCAAAGAAGTAAGTAAGAGTGGGGTGGCCAGTACAGGAGGCGCATGCCAAGCCTATTGTACATGTTTTTAGTGGTAGGGGAAACTGGAGTACCCGGAGAAAACCTACGGAGACACGGGGAGAACATGCAAACTCCATTCAGAAAGGCCCTGGTCCAACCGGGATTTGAACCCAGGACCTTCTTGCTGAGAGGCGAGAGTGCTATCCACTCAGCCGCCGTGCCAACGTCTTAATCACTGGATAAACAAAATAAATTTAGAGAGATGACGATGGTACATGGTTTAAAACAAAAGACAATTTTGCTTAACATATATTTTATAATAATTATAATAAAATATTCAAATAGGTTTCCAATCTCGTCTTAAAACCCACTTTAATTCTCTGGTTTTTAACACCACTTGACTTTTTATTTAGTAACTTATTGTTTTATTTATATCATGTATTTATATACTTTGGAAATCTTCCAAAAATCTTCATAAAATGTTCTATAGAAATAAAGTGGATTGGCTCTGATTTAAATGATATGTGCAGCAATAAAGCAAATGTGTAAAGTAAACATTATTACTATATAACTCTGAGCTAACTCACTTTGCACCTGTAAATGATCAAACTGTCCAAAAGATAATCTCCAGTCTGAGCTCCTCCACATGCAGCCTGGATGTACTACCCACTAGATTTCTGAAGTCTGTTCTGAGCAGTCTGTTACCTTCACTCACACAGATAGTAAACATGTCCCTTCATTCTGGAATATTCCCAAAGGCCCTGAAAACTGCAGTCATCAGGCCCCTGCTAAAAAAGAGCAGTCTGGATGCCACGGTACTTAACAACTATCGTCCCATCTCAAATCTGCAATTTATGGGGAAAGTCCTTGAGAAAGTTGTCTACCTACAGCTTACTAGATTTCTTATAATCCACAACTCATTTGATATGTTTATACTGAGACGCTGCGCAGACGTTTCCAGGCTATTAACAGAAACAGCCTGGCTCCTAATGCAAATTTCTCAGCGTTCACATGAGGTTGAAAAACGATGTAGTTCTAGCGCCCGGCCAGTAGTGGGCAGAGAAACTTTACAACACTCACACAACCCCCAGCCCCCGTGGAACAGTCTTCCTGAAGATGTGAGACAGGCCTCCTCAATGACAATGTTTAAAACCAGGTTAAAGACAGTTCTGTTTAGCTGTGCATACAACTGAGGGATTTTATATTTTTATCTTTCTTTTTAATGTTCTGTGATTATTTATGATTTTAATGCTTTCTTATTTTGTTCAGCACTTTGAATTGTGCTATATAAATAAACTTGCCTTGCCTTGCCTTGCCTATAACAGTGGGGTAGATAAAAAGTGCTTTGTGAAGAGCTATCCACTCGGCACGGTGGATAGCTCCACGGAGTGGATAGCACTCCCGCCTCTCAGCAAGAAGGTCCTGGGTTCGAATCCCGGTTGGACCAGGGCCTTTCTGAGTGGAGTTTGCATGTTCTCCCCGTGTCTGCGTAGGTTTCCTCCGGGTGCTCTGGTTTCCCCTACCACTAAAAATATGTACAATAGGTCTGGCATGTGCCTCCTGTACTGGCGACCCCTCTCCCAAAAATAACAGTTGTAAACCGCTTTGAGACTCTGATGTGCAGTGAAAAGGCGGTATATAAATAAAGATTACTTACTACTACTACTACTACTACTACTATTTGACATTTTTATTGTTCTGGTTGGTGCGTGGCTGGTACTCACACGGCGTGCGGCTCTTTGAACTTGCCGACCTGCTGGATCTGATACATGAGATCTCCTCCGTTTATGTACTCCATGACAAAGTAGAGGCGATCCTGAGGACAGAGGGCAGAGCCGCGGTCAGGAGGGACGCCAACATGTGACTGCGAGTGAGTGAGAGGTCAGTGCAGCAGAAACAAATGACCCACTCCAGGTAGATGAAGACGGATGGCGGGGATGAGGCCATATTAGCGTGGGAGAAGAGGCCTGGATCAAAATGAAGAGAAAAAGAGGGACAAAACAGGAGGAGCAGCAGAGAAGTGACTGAGCGACCAATCAGCCCCCAACTCACCTTAACAGCAATTTAAACTGGCAATTCCTCTCCATTATCTACAGAAATTGCCAATAAGGTACAGTATGAGGAGAGCGGTGGAAGGCTGTGGTGTTTGTGTTGTGAGCTGTAAGCTGTCGGAGCAGTGTGTGCGGTGCTGCCTGCTCTGCCTGATAAGTCTCAAGAACAGTCACTCGCTGCACACAGTGTTCTGAGTGTGGGGAAAAAAATGGAGATTGGGGCCTCCACAGAAGAGAGACTGCTGTGTTATTTCCTCTACATATGGCTGAGAAAATCCCACGTACACAAGTTCTTTTGATTCCTCAACATTGCTGCTGTGGATTAACAAGTTGAGTTTGAGTTAATGCTTGGAAATTATGCTGATCTCTATGATACTATGTTTTGAGATAACGTGCTGTGGATGTAAATGCAGTGGTAAATATGGCTCCTCAGAGCTATATTTACTGCAGTTGACTCATCTTGAGCGTAATATGGATTATACGTCACAAGACGAGCGTGAATCAAAGCGCTGTGGTGGAGCTGAGGGCTGTCGGAGCTGTGTTCACCAGCAGAGCTGCCTTCAGCTCCACAACAGCCCAGTGCCACCAAATACTGACTATTTATAGTTCTGACGTCAGGACTAACCACAACACGACTGTTCATCATTTCACACTTATTCACTCACATTTACTTCGACTAGTTATTTACCATAGTGGGGTTTGTAAGTTACATTTAAAATCTTCTGGTCAATAATTAAATTAATATGGCAGAGTGGTTAGCACTGTTTTTCTGTATGTCATGTCTAATGCGGTCTTATTACTCCAAATCTGAAACATGAAAGAAGGTAGATGTAACTTGTCCATAGCTTTCACAAAGCCCTTGACAAATCCTTTGTATTCACACAAATGCTTTTTCTGACATTCAAGTATTAGAGCGCAGTAATAGACTGTCAATCCAGAGCGACTCCCATTCACTTCAAAAAGGCTGTTTTAAGAGTGTGTTGCACACCACTATCTGTACATGTACAGAAACATATCAGAACATAACATACAGGTTTTAATGTTACTCAATAACATGATAACACACTAGTGTGTGCGTACCATGGTCTGAAAGGTGGAGTGCAGCTGTGTGAGGAATGGGGGCTTCCCGGACAGAGCCAGGACCCTCTTCTCCACCATGGTGCACTCCACGTCATCGTCCTGGATCACCACGTCCTTCTTCAGGATCTTTATCGCATACAGCTCCTCTGTGCCTTTCCTCTCAGCCAGCATCACCTGCAAACACACAACAGGGACAATCAGAACAATGCATTGGTTTCATGTATGTAGCACTTTGCTAGGGTTAGGGTACACTTCACATATGATATGGGTGAGGAACTATAGCCACAGCTGCCCTGGGGCAGACTGACTAAAGCAGGACCAGTAATCCGAGTCAGACCCCTCAACCACCGCCATCATCATTCACCAGCCTCAAACTAAGCCGTCACAACAACAGTGTGGCCCAGGCGCAGCCGCTCCCAGAGGTCTCCCATCACAGTACTAACCAGGTACTGCCATGCTTAGCTTCTACAGTCAGTTGGATCAGGCTTTCACATGTATGTACATGGATGGGCAATATACATACGACATACAGTACTACTGGAATATTATTCCCAATACTTAGTGCATTTTATGTGTCTTTTTACAGATTCAATGCACACCAGTATTACAAACACCAATCTATAAAGATGTATATTTCATGTGCAACACAAACATAACACACATTTGTACAAACATGATTTGAAAAGGGGTTGGATGAACCAGGTGCTTATGAACTTACAAGGACCTGCTTCCCCTTCCCTCATTCCACAGACAGGATGGTAAAACAATGTCATATCAACAACACACACACTCTCTGACCCAACACCCCTCCCCCTACAGAACACGATTACCAAATCACACATGGTATCAATAACAAACAATGGTATCAATACCAAACCATGGTACTGTGAGGATAGGTTTTCTGACAGTATTAACAGCGCTCCTTTTTTGCTGCTGTTGTAAACAAGGCGGTGACTCACAGCGACTCTAGCATTCAAATGTGTGAATTATAGGCAAGAAAAAGAAAGTTTTGAAGCGGATTGTGTGACTTGATCTTTTTGGGAATGCAGTCTGAGGCCAGGTGCAGATAAGATAATGGGGGACGAGAGCAGGATTACAAAAAGTAGGAATAAAAAAAAGAAAAAGGCATCCTGCTTAAGCCAAGGGCAGAGGTAGCAGGAGGACAGCAGGAGCGATAGAGGGAGAGATTGGCAGCAGTCAAGCCATTCAGTCAAATCTGCTGAATCACATCTAAAAATATGGACGGGGCATTGTGTCTTTTATCCAAGGTTAGTCTCCAGCTGCGCTCCGTCTCGCAGACTGAGGCCAAAGCATTTCCTCTCTGATATAGTCAATGTATTCTGCTCTGGCTTTGATTCTCATCTTCCTTCTGTTCGGCCTCTCTCCTGAGTTAGATGCTCTCCAATAGAAAGCGTGTCAGTCGTGTGGTACACATGTTTACATGGTAATAACCGTCTGAAACAGCTGCTGTTGCATGTTCTGCTCTTTTTACACCACAGCAGTCAATTTTACAGCTTTGAGTTTGTGTAATTACTCAGCTTTTCTACATTTTTGGTCTTCTGAACTTATGACCTTCTATGACATTATCTTTATGAAATTATCTTTTATTTTTTAAACATGAACAGTTCTACCTTTTACTTCATTCATTTGAACGTGAAATTCAAATGCAGCCATTTTTCTGGTTCTGGACTCGTCACAGACTCGTTCTAGTTCTGACCAGAGAAGAAGTTACCATAGCAACACACTGTTAACTTGCAGCAGTTAGCATTTATTTTTTCACCAAATGTTTTTGCTGTATTTCAGATATATTCACCAGTTTAGCCTTTCACTTCACCTCAGTCAAAGTGGTCAAAGGTAAAAACCTTATAAAAAAGGTTGAAAAGGAGCAGTCAAAATGACGGCTCTGGAAGTTCTAGTAGTTTCAGAATTCTGAGAGCCCTGAGGGTAAACAGCAGAACGGAACATTGTCAACAGACAGGATTACCAAACTGTTAGTTTTCGCATCAAATACAATTTGTCTGTAATCTGTGGATCTGTCCATATAACACATGTGGACGTATGGAACTATGGAACAGTACACTCATTATTCTGTGAGTAAATATGACGGATTATACGAGTGGTTTTACAGCTGCTGTGGTACTGTATAAAGTGTGGTGAGGCCTTTTACAGCCTTGAAACAAATACTGTATCTGCTCAACATTATTTCAGAATGCAACCCCTGTGATAAACAAGGGAGCCCTGTACGAAAAAAAAATGTCAATCTAAGGTTGCGGAATTGTTATTTCTTATTGACCAAAGAAATACTAAACTAATTAACTAAACTTATTACACCAAAACCAGTGGAGACCGGCTGTATGGCGGTGAAACACACAAACATGTCGCCCAATTACACAATCGCGGCTGACCGTGGTTGTAGCAGACCCACAGAGCAGCACAAAGCCATTATTAATTATTGAGCAATTAACTTGACGACTCTCCAGAGCTGTAATTACATTTACATGTAACGGCCGACATTCACCAGTCTGTATTCCGGCACGGAGCTGTAACATGGCTGTCTTAAAGCTGCACTAACTGACTTTATTTTCGTATTCATTACGAAAATGCTATCCATGTCCATGCAGTGCATTGGGATATACGTCCTTTTGAAGATAAAGTAGCGCAGATTTGTACTGGCGTAACATAATATTTTAGATTGAGTTTTGATGAAACAAGGAAGAGAATGTGTTTCGGGTCGCAGATTGTGACCAATCACAGCGCACCACTAGCCCCCACTTTCGTAAGAAATCTACAGGTCTGTTAGCACAGACAGCTGAGTTAGCACAACAAGCGGCGGAGCTAACCTGAAGCTTCGTGTGTCTTCGTCACCGGTTACTGCTTACACAGCGAGACAGCCATCCAAAAGAAAGTCTGGTTCCTCCGCGCTTCCCGGTTCTATCGTTCTATGGTCACGCCATCCACGTGCAAATCCATATCCATGTATTATCCATATTGGAAGACGCTAGCTTCGTCAACAACAGTGGGTGTGTGTGGGGGCGATAGCTTCGTGGGTGCGGGGAGGGGAGCAGAAAGAGCGAGGCCAGCGAGTCTGGGGCTTCAAAATCCCAAAGTCAGTTAGTGCAGCTTTAAACCACAGCGTTCCCCCGCGCTCACACACATAATAAATAAAGTTATCGTGACTAAACAACTGACTAGTGCTTCCAATGGAACATGTTTCAGGTTTGATCTTGGAAGCAGCCGCCCGCGGAGAATGGGAGAGGAACATAGCAGGGCTTTTCATCACGTCCCGTTTGTAGTTCTCAGGGGGCTAATTGAGTTTAGGACCTCGACAAAGAATCTTTCATCCAGTTGTATTTTATGTAGAAGCCTTTTATTCCACACAGCCTCATTTGCATGAATAGACTTGTAAATTTGTCGTTGTGTGTCTTGCTTGGCTGATGAGTGATTAATTTAATTTTCTGAGGTGAAAAGACATCCAGGACTCAATAACACGCTGCGTTCTGTAAAGCATGTGTAATACTGTTGAATAAAATGGAACATATTAGATGAATATTGTTTTGCATCTCTGTTTAACCCGCTGCAACATTTACATATTCAACATTGTCGTGTTTTTGTTCTCATTGTAAAGACTGAAGTTAAAACAGGCTTTCCATTCTCTAAAAAGACTACCCACCCATCTACAAACGACATCTATCACACATACAGTACATACATACATACATACATACATACACATATACATGAAGTACACATACATACATATACACATATACATGAAGTACACATACATACATACACACATATACATGAAGTACACATACATACATATACATGAAGTACACATACACATTTAATATCAAGATTAAAAGATTCTCTTTTGTCCCAGAGTGGGGAAAGTTCAGTGTTGCATTGCCAGTTACAGAACAGTAGGAATGATAATAATCAAATAATCAAATAATGAACACAGCTCTAAACTCTATACTAGACTATAAACTAAATAACGTTATACTAAACCCTGTACTGTTCAATCTGTTCCAAACCCATCTCAAACCATGGTTCATCACAAACAGACATGTCAACACTAACTTTTATCTGTTTGTATATATATGATAAAAAACTGATAACACCATTATTTGCTTTTAGGTCGATATTTTAAATCTGTCCAGGGACAAAGAATGAAAAATAGCCTCGTGGCTAATTCTGGTACATTAAGAGTAATGTTCATTAAAGTACACTGTCCTTGTCAAATAAGCGAATAAATAAATAAAATACTATACAAAATAACAAAATACAATTCCATAAAAATTAACATTAAAAAAGGCTTATTTTTAAAAGGCGTAAATGTTATATAAGTATGTAATAAGTCACATGAATCATATATAAGTAATTAAGTAAGTAATATTTATTTATATAGTGCATTTTACCGACCAATGTCACCCAAAGCGCTTTACAATGTTCAGAGTTCAGATACTGTTCCAATAATTCCACAGAAGCGAGTCGCCGAACACACTGGACCATCAAAGCCTCCAATCAACACCATCCATTCACTCTCTCATTTACATTGATACCTATTCTGCATGTTTTTAGTGTCTGCGTAGGTTTCCTCCGGGTACTCCGGTTTCCCCTACCACTAAAAATATGTACAATAGGATTGGTATGCGCCTCCTGTTCGGCGACCCGGCTCCCATCTCTGTGTGGAGTGAGAGGACAAGTGCCCAAGAATAACAATTGTAAACCGCTTTGTGACTCTGGTCTGTGAAAGGCGGTATATAAATAAAGATTACTTACTTACTTACTTACTAGTGGTAAGGGAAACCGGAGGAAACCTACCCAGACACAGGGAGAACATTCAAACTCCACTCAGAAAGGCCCTGTTCCAACCGGGATTCAATCCAGGACCTTCTTGCTAAGAAGCATTAGTGCTACCCACTCAGCCACAGTGGCACCCGGTGGCTGAGTGACACCTTGTCAGTTCAATTACCAAAACAATTTTTCAACTATATTGTAATTTTAAGAGTTTTATCTGTTTGCACTTTGAATCCATTTTCTTTTCCTTTTAACATAAATTTTGCGTTTTATCAGTCAGAAATTCAAAATCATACGACAAACTACAATTAAGTGACAATCTGAAGTGTGAGGTTAGGGCTAGAGGCACTATTGCATGAGGAGGGAGTAGA